TCTGGTGACACACTGACACATATGGCCTGGTTTGAAGCACGGACGTTCCAGTAAGGTCAGACCAGTACAATTACTTGTACCACGGATCAGCCTTTTGCCTTTCAGTCCTTCAACACACCAAGCACACACATTCAAAACATAAATCTGTAAAGGGAAATACTAGTCTAGCAACCATTATCTGATAATATACATTTGACATTTCACTGGGAATGTTCATTTCTGATGGCTCCATTTCACCTGAAGCTAAATAGAATATTTTCCCCATAACCCTCAAAAGGTGAGCGTGTATTATATGTATATACTACTCAATAAAAGTTAAGGACAAACCGATTCTTTCATATTACTAAAGTTAACCTATCAAGTCATGACAGATTAATTGCATTGATATGAAACAATTGGGTGGTCCTTTCTGTGATGCATGATATATTAACTATAGCAAGATGAAAGTACTGGGTGGTCCTCAACTTCTTTTAAGTAGTATTACTATGGTCATACATACTAGGCCGTAGTTAACTTTTTTTTACAAGGGGGGCAAATATTTGTACAAGTATCAGTTGTCCCCAACTTGATTCAAATAAAATTGTTTTCTATAAAACATCCCCCCCCTCCCCCCCTGACTGTCATAGGCACAATTTAGTCATATATTTAGTGGGTTGTTTTTTTAAATATAGCAATGGATTATTATTTCCCCCTTTCCTTTGTGTATTTATGGCATGAAAGTCTGTGAGACAAGTAATCCAACTGGTCGGGCCTTCAGTGAAAACTGGACCATGAGGATACCATGATCCTAGGGTAACTACAGTTCTACATTGGCAGTCTATCAGGCTACTATCCATATCCATACTATTCTCCGCATTGATATCTACAGCACTCCATGAAGTGACCCATACAAATATACACAAAACAGCCACTGCTCAACACAATCACACCCACCAACATATGCATTGTTAATAAAGTGGGTTACACTGCCTTTCCACAGCAGACACTGACAAAGTACTACCTGCTGCATGACAGGTATAAGGCATGTTTGTGCAAAGCATTCAAATGGTTGGAGCAATTCCACTCCCATGTGTGAAACATAGGGGCTCGTCCACACAAATCTGGGCGTTGTTCCACATAGCAATCTTAGCGCTAAGACGATTGTAAATCACATACTTTAACATAATCATAGCACTAAACTCACTCTGTGGAACAGGGCCAGAGTCCTGGTGACTAACACTAACCTCTATGTTGCTGGGAGTGTCAGAATACATTACACAAAAGATGGAGGACCTCTATGGGGTTTTGTTTAGAGACTTAATGACTTAAAATTAATTACTTTGTTCTTGGATCAGGTTTAATGTAGCAATGATGCAATGTATTGAAATAAAGTGGCAGAATTAAAACCATTTGTTTCAATGGTGGTTACTGAGGATGCCCAACCCCCATTTCGGAATCCAGAATATTATCATATTTTCTCATTTTGCACTCTCATCCGTGAATCTTGAATACTATTTCAAACAAACCCAAAAGGCATTGAGAAATGGGTGCGATTTGAAGTTAAATTACTTGAAATTAATGAAGAAATAAAAGTAAATATTTATATACACCGTTTTTTAAAATGTTGAATCTGCATACTACTATGATTGTATTTGAATCCTGTGTACCACACTGTTTAGTCTTTGATACCCTCTAAATAGACCCCTGAATCCGGTGTTCTGAAAGGGGTTGGCAGCCTCGTTACTGATCATACTATCTTTTAAAATAACATTACAGAATCTACAAATTAAGATGTATTTAAAGTCCACTGAAGCATATCTGTGGCATAGGATACACTTTGAGAAAACGAAACTCTGGAGATGGTAGAAGCAACATAAAAGTGTAAGGAACCGTTAGAACCCTGTGTGAACTCGAGGCAGAAACACTTCCTGATGATCAAGAGTCAATTATATCATCTTGTGGTTTGTAACTAATGAAGGGAGTCCAAGTTCCATAATGTTGTAATAACTTCAACCTTGTTTAATACAGGTTCGTTTTCCACTGCTTCCTGTTATATTGAAACATGTATATTGAAAATGAAAGAGAATTGCTTACCATCTGGACTAACATTGCTCTCAGTGACGACAGCAAATCACAAATCAGAATGACAATGTATTCGTAAAAAATGACTTGCTTTGTTTGTACTCAAATTTAATATTTAAATGATCATGTTCAATCGACATAGTTTGACCATGTACCAGTTAGAAATAACAATTTACATTAGTTTACCATTACTATGTTATCATTCTGCTTCCATTTTGGGGGGGAATATTTTTTCATCGAATCCAAATGTACCAATGTTCAAATTATAACAAACGCTTCATGAATGTATTCAAATGCATGAGGGACTAGTAGGTACTACATTTGCACTGGGATTGATATCTGCTCACTAACAATGCCTATGGTCCATGTTATTTACATATCCTGATAAAGAAATAGTACTGTCGACATGTTTTCTGCAACAATGTAATGCCAGACACCATGGCATTATCTTGCTGTCACCTACTTGTGTGCACACTGATTTCCCCAAGCGATGAGCGTTCCCTACTGAGAGCTAAGCCATATCACAGGCTGCAGTATAGATATATTCTTATATGGATATAGTCTGGTTCCAGGCATTGTGCACTTCAATACACAAAGCACATGTACACATGGATTCTCGAAATGAGCCAATACCAGTATTAGGAACGACCTTTCGTATATTTTTTCGGGATATCCTTCAACAGTGCAGGGTAGAAACAGTCATATCTAAAACTGAGATAAAAAAATATATTCAACACAGATCTTGTATCTTTAATGAAACAATGACACAAGGTGACACAAATTTGTATCAACAAACACAGAATTATTATGAACCCCCTAGATCACTTGCTTGCACACAAGCAGTTTTTTTGTATTGTATTTTCAGAGAAGCTTTTTTCATACCAAGATAACTGTATCCCTTATCAGATTCCTATGACATTTCAAAGTGTACGTTGTTGTTTTCATCATTTGAGAAAGGATGCCCTTCTCATGTCGACATCCACCTTCACTGCTATCAGTGTGTGTAAGTTTATCAGGTGTACAAGACCATACTTCTGTGTTAAGGTTATTTGGAGACAACGCCATGTGTGACATTCACAGTGTATACTCCTCAGAGAGATGAGAATGAAATTCTTGTGCACACCATTCCAAAGACCAGGGCAATAATAACGTAGCACCATGAGCATTCACTTGGTGAATGGAATCTGGCGTGTTATAAATGGACTTTCTATATTCGACATAATAAGCGCCCAGGGCGCTCTCAAAATTAGAAATAGGGGGCTCTTATTAGAATATAATTTTAGTGAAAAAGTTGAAAGATCGTAAATTTCATGGTTTATGCTTACAGCATGAAATGATACAAAAGAAAAGTCTGTGCGTATTATGGAATTTAATTTAGGATGCATATACCACATGAGTGTGTATTATACATGAATAAATAAGTCTTGTGTACATTAATCAGTCGGAAGGGTGCTAATTGGGATTGTTCACTAGCCAATATATTAGCAAATATCGCCTGGGGCGCTTATTACGTCGAATACGGTAAATCTCATTAAAGTCAGATCTTTCACTCAAATATGATACCTCAATTTAGAAATAAAAACCTTATCAAAAGAAAACCAGCACAGAACCTAATTATTCTTTCAATATTACTCCCTTTAGTGTGCAGATGGCATGGTGCTCAGAAGCCACATGGTGTCCAAATATCAACAACAATTTAATAGCACAGCCAGTAGTATTTCTATTAGTAACTGTCCATTTATTTTTGTTTCCACAAAACAGAAATCAACCATGCTGCTCTGATTACCTTGGTCATTCGTTCATATGGTAATTTACAAAGCTCAATGCCGACTGATTAAAGTTAACCTGGACGGTTAGTCAGATCTTCAGTATCGTATGTGGCATAATAGTACATCTGAATTTACCAATTTTGTATGAGAGTGACTTTGAGAGGACAAATACGCTTGTTCTTCATTACTAACCTACCCAAACAATTATATAAATTGACATTTTTATAAAATATTTTGTGCATGATATATTGGTAGCAGTTTTTTGTATTATATTTTCATTCTGCACTGCTGTTGTGACCTACCCTGACTACCAACACTGTTGTTGTACATGTATGTTGTTAAATCAGGGATGTCTGCAAGCTTGTAAAGCCTTGGAGGGGGGTATTTTGGTACCAACACTTAAATCCATGAAAACCACATAAACATAATCTCTACTTCTATGAATATTTTAATCTCATGCATTTGTGAATTGGTTTGGTGTGGATGGGATCTACAGTCAAAATCGAAATTAAAACTTGACCTACCTGCCCATTTTGTTATAATTTATTATTAATTTATGAGAAATAGGAAATATATTTATGTGGCCAAATATGGAGCTAGTAAGATGCAGAACACAATGACATTGGTTTTGTCCATAACATACCGAGCAGCATATTCATGCCTGCAGTCTTGCTTAACTAACATAGCTTCTGTTGCAACATACCATCTACAGTACATGACATATGGTGTTGAGTGAGTGAGTGAGTGAGTTGGGATTAACGCCGCTTTTAACAATATTCCAGTTATATAGTGGCGTGTCAGCTTAATGTGGGAGGAAAGCCCGAAGTGATGCAGGTCTCAGACGTTTACCACTTCGGTGAAACCCACGAGCACGGGTATGGTGCTGACAAACCTAGAAACATAATCGGGGCGAACCGGGATTCGAAACCACAATCATAGGTTTCTGGCCTGCCCAATGGACACAACTCTGCACAGCGAATTGCGGCGCCTTAGACGACTTGGCCACCCGTGCCCCCCATATGGTATTGAGCTTGACTGATGATTGGCATCACTCGTGATTATTTCATAAAACTGTAGACAAGAGTCCTGAAGTACTATTTGCACATAAGTCAATGTGGTTGAAGCCATTTGAGAGTGTCAACTGCTTACATAATCACTGACAACATGGTGTATCAAATAGCCTGTTTATTTAAGTATTAATTACAAAGCACAACTGCTCATACGTTACAAAACTAATGCAATACTTCGCAAGTGCAATTGATATCCATATCAAATGTCATGACTGTCATTTTGTGTCTATATATATTTTTAGAACCAATCTTACTTTGCAACCATTCTGTGATTTCACATAATATTGGACGACAAATAATGAATACTTAACTGTAGGACAAGCAGGAACTAAAACACCTGAACCTAATAAATTATGACAAAGCTGCATGAAACATTTGTGTGTGGTGCAATCTGATTGGTTGAAAAACATTGTTGATCCCAGAAATCTTTTGGATTTTTGACTGTATAAGAATATTTTTCTTTTTTTAAGTATCTTTTTTCTCCTCAATCCCAAATTTGAAAAATGTGCCATTCATCTTGGCAAAATGGACACCATGTTAATTAAATATTATGTTTGATCAATATCTATCTAATTAACTTTAATTTAGTTGTTTCTTTCCAAAGTCTGCTAGCCAGGCAAGTTTGTCACTACGGAAACATGATTGTGACGTAATCTATTGTATCATGACATCATTACATTCCAGGGTAACAGCAAAGTATTCCAGAGTGACGTCACGTCTGTTTCACAACTGCAAGAATTCATGTAGAATGAGATTGCTTCGAAAAATTTCTGAGAGCTTTTGTATGTTACAAGGTCGATAAACAACGGTGTTGGTTCCAAATGAAATTTCCGGGTATCGAATACTCAATAACACATGCGATTCCGAAAACAAATGTCTTCTAAGTCCATAAAACCATATGATAAGCCATGATAACCCCCAAAATATCTCAATCGGTGTTCAAAATTAAAGGCGACCTTGGGTCCCTTGAGACTTGCGGATATACTTAATTACTATTTGAATCTAGGGACCCCTAAACAGGCTAAAGATATAACTTTTGACCTTTATTGCAAGGGCCCATTGATTTTCATCCTTAAATTTTGAACACTGCAAATGATCCTTTAATGTAAAACATACGTTTTATAATCCACATTAAAATTATATGAATCATGAGAATTCATGATTTTTAAAATAAATTTAGCAGTTATTACCCAACTATTATTAAGTATCAAACAGGTGTAGACACTTTATGTCATATCAAACTAGACACAATTCATTCAGACTAACTCATAAAACAGAACTACCAGTTGATCAAGGTGAAAACAACTTTTCTCAGGCAAGTAGACTATCTGTCATGTGATAACAAAACTATCAGTCTTGTCTGTACTTGATAAGTTCACCTTTATTATGTTTTTTGAAAAATTTATTTTGTTAGCAACTATAAGAAGTTTTCAACTACCACAGGAGCTCCTGATACTACAGTGACTGGTACACCACCTTATTTCATCCTACTCAACGTTTGATAGGGAAAATCAGATACATCATTCTATTTAAATATACACTTGACATACAATGAGAATCAGTTTTGTGTATCGTGGAAAGATAAAAAAATATCCCTATCAAAAGTGGAGTAGTATACTTAGCCTAAATTCTGTAAAACCTCAAGATGGGCCCACATATTTTTTCACAAAAATACTTCCACCTACAATTGTTTGAGAAATAACAAAATACCACCACTCCATCAGTCTGAGATTTTGAAAGTGTGATGCATTCTCTGTGAACTGCATCTTTAAACGCCAGGGCCCCATGCCACAAAGCAATCTTAGGCCTACGACTACCGTAGGCCTGTGTTAAAGTATGGGAGTTACGATCATCTTAGCGCTAAGATCGCTTTGTGGAACAGGGCCCAGAACAGTATGAATATAACATGAAAAATGTTTGAAACTCTGAAGTACAATGAATGTGCTTAATAAGTTATCTGTCCCCAGGCAAGATGCTTTTGCATCATCATCACATCACATTACAACCACCATCAGTTTCATTTGAAAGCCTGACTGATTCTGTGGTTGGCAGCTGACTGAAGTCTCAGACTGAATCCAACAGCTCCTCCGTGTCCTGTTCAACTCGTACCATGCTCACATATGCCAAGTCTCTATGCTCTCGGCAATGCCACTAAAGCTGTACATTGATAAACATAACACAAAGAGCATGTAGCCAGCAGCTGGATGCGATCACCTTCAGCCTATTCATGTTGGAAAGAAAATGGCATTCCGGTCTGTGGAAGCTACCACTTTCCATGGCAGTTTTATCACAATTGTATCTCATAGAGTTCACTTTTTCTCTCCCAGGTTATCCATCTTTGCCTTCAATTCTCGTTCCATGATTTTCTGACGATCACAAAATCCGAGTCGGTTTTTACCAAATGAGTTAGGACCTGCAGCAGTTGGTGTGTCTCTGTAACACATATGCAGAAAAGAATGAGTTTGGTTAATGGCGCTTTGAACAGTGTTTCAGTTGATACTTATATCATGGCATGTCAGCTTGATGTGTGAGAAATGCTCAAAATGATACAAGATGTTTACCACTTTGGAGAACCCTGTATGGTGCAGATAATACTAGAGGCAAACCTGGCACTCCAACTGATGTTCATAGGTTTCTGTCATTCCTATGGGATGCATATCTACAAAGCTAACTAACAAGACTTAAACCAGTGTTCCCACATCTGTTGCAGTTCATGTACGTTGAGGATCGCATTAATTATTTAAGGATTGATTTCAATATTTTCTGCGTTTATGGAGGTATTAATATAAAAACGAGTATACAAACTGGTAAACGCAAAAGGAATTTAAGTCAATTCTTAAATAATTAATATGACCCTCAACATACATGAACTCTTAATAATTCTTACAAATAAATATAGTCAACAGTAATTACTTCACAGACTGCTTATTTAATGATAAACACACACAAAACTGAAGAAAACAGTACAAAATCAGTGACATCGTTTAGCAAGCCCCGCCCGTTCTATTATCAGCCAATCAGGACACAGTAGTTTCTGAGTGGGCATGACCTAATTGTTTTCGTTTTTTTGAAACATGAACGCCACAAATATCGCTTGGTTAACCTGGGAAACCTCCTTTACTAGAAATCCTTACACTCAAAACTTTCTTCAGACTTTTTAACTTTATTGTCTGAACAGAATTTTTTATTGGCACTATTGTACAAGAAAGCAGCCCTCTGCTTGCCTACATTTTACCTAACATATTTTCTCCAGGATTTTCACTGTGTTACAAAAGTAATAATGTGTTGTCCTAGTAACAAAAATGCAGGCCTAAACAAAGATTACTGTGAACAACTTGATGGAGCATATGACATCAGGCACATGACCTACACAACTAGGGGTCCAGGAGACCCCCAATAATTCATTTCGAGGGTCCTTACAGGAGATATGAGGGCCCTGTAAAGTAATGTACTGTAAGATAGGATAATTACAGGATCTTTGTAATTGTTGTCAAGAATTTGATTCAATGAATATTATTGTGCATCCCTCGGGACACAATAAATATTCTGCCCCCATACCATACATTTGGGCATACTGGATTCACATTTCTGTGTCAGGTAAAACCCTGTGGCATGACATTTTTCAGATGCAAATGATTATTCATTTATTCATAAATTTTGAGAAACCAGCATTTTTTTCAAGAATTAGTATACATTTCAGATAGACAGGTTAATATGTTTGCTCAGATATTTTGCAGATTTTATCTTTCTCCACTACACCAAATTTCCACTGGAAATAATCAAGAAAGACATTACTTGAGCCAAGATGACACAGGATCTTATCATGTTAATTTTATTGGTTTCCCAGCCACATGTTGAATCTTTACTTTTGGTGCTCAATGGTAAAAGAATATATTTGCATGACTTATATTTGTCAAAACAAAATGTTTAACAAACCATGGCCATCCAAGACCAGATATCCTCCTGTAGATTTATGATAGTTTAGGTCTTTTAATATCTTATGTGATGAGAACAGTTTGCTGGCAAGCAGTCTCTTTTAAGTGTGTAAAAGATTTGCTACCAAAATGTCAGAATCTTCATATCTGTCTCAGAAGCGAACAGAAATAAACTGTTTTCATTTGGTGCTATCATACTGTTGCAAGTGATGCTAGGGAACCAACACTTTTCCATTGCTAATTGTCTTCACCTTCCTATGTTTCTCATCCTCATCTTAGCCTCGGGTGGCATTTCTTCTTCATCACTCTGTCAAAAGAACATGATATATATCAAATATAATCATCGCATTCTGCTGAAGTCACGTTCATTGTGTTCAGCCCTCAACACAAAACTTCACACGTTTCTTATCCAGTCTAGTTTCTCAAAATATTTCAGCATTTTTTTTCTCTTTTTTTTTGGTTTGACCCTTACAACTTATTTATAAGATCACCTGAAAAGACATGTTATATTTTTGTTTCAACTAATGACCTTGTGTTTTTGTGATAACTTCAAACAATGTGATTATTTTTTGGTAAGGCCCCACAAGCATATTCATAGCACACTGACGTTTTCATTCAAAGTTATCATTACCCCATATAACATGTCTGGCGTGATATTAATGCACACTGACATTAATGTTCACATACCTCATCATCTGGATTAAATATAGCAGCTACTTTAGCATTCTTCTGCAGTACACTTGTAGCTGGGCAGTCTTTGGGTTTCTGAAAGGTTCACATTGCATTAGATGACATGACTGGACTTGGATGAGTGAGTGAGTATGGTTTTACACCGCTTTTAGTAATATTCCAGCAATATCATGGCATGGAGCACCAGAAATGGGCTTCACACAATGTACCCATGTTGGGAATCGAACTCGGGTCTTTGGGGTGACGAGTGAACACTTTCTCAACTAGGCTACCCGACCGCCCCTGGATTTGGATGACTTATTCAAAGTTCTTTCAACAGACATTTCACATCTTTGATTTACTCCAACTTTCTTTAATGTGTCGGTGAACACATCAAAAAATCATAAATAAACACTGACAGGACTTATAAGTTGCTAAACCTCTTATCCTAAAATCAGTAACTATATCTACCCATGTACATATACACTCAAAATTGGTGACAGTTTGACAGCAACAATGAGGCTGTTTCTTCGACAACAGCTGGATTAAGAGAACTTTGAACAGTATTTAGTATATCACAGTGTATCAGCTTGATTTTGGAATGGCTGATGCAGGTTAACAAAGCAAAATGTGGCTCCTCAGACGACGATTTCAAGAGGCTGTGGTGTTGCCTAATGGTGATAGCATTCACTAATCATATGAATGACCCAAATCAGATTCCCTTCCTACATTAGGAGAGTGTATATGTGCAGCACATTCTTGGTGTCCTATATACTGCTAAAACCAGTATAATATGTGTGCCGTGTACATTTATAAGCTGAGATAGTAAACGGAAACATACACACTGTTCTTCATATTCAAAACATCTAGCACAACATCATAAGGACATTGCAAATAACATCAATGATTTTGATTACACATCTGTTTCATAAAGTTTGACATTAGCTTCTACTTTCAAGTAGGTCCCATATTCATGTCAGAGAATCTATTTTTGGTGGAAAATTGATTTTCTGTGAGGGCCTCAATTCCATGCTCCACTTCCCGACTCATATTTGTGTACTAGGGAGTTGCGGTTCATTTTAACCCATGATTTACCTGTGTTGAGAGGGACATCTTGATAGGTGCAGGTGCTGGTTTTGGAGAAATCTGGATTACTGGACTCTTCTTGGAATCAGCGAGTTTCGAACTGAAACCCATGGAGAACTTTTTCTTCACAGGTGGCGCTGTCTCACTGTCATCATCAGCCAGTTTCCGCTTCTCTGGACTTTCTCCTTCTCCCCGCTCTGTGTTGACCCCTGGGTAATTTGAAATACTGGCAAATTTGAAACACTTTGTCACAATCCACACATGGATTTGACCCAACCGTCACTGTGAAATGTAAAGAATGAAACAAAACACTAAATTAGAAGAATATCCTACAAATGTTGAAAACTGTTACATCTTGGTGTCTCTTTGTGATCGTTTAGGTATGAAAAGAAATGTTGACTGAATCATGATTGTTATGAAGCCTGAAAAACATGCTTGGTTTGCAATTTATCTCTTTATCACACAAACACTCCAGTACAGTAAAACAAACAATCATGATAATCTCAACACCTTTCTTGGCACAACACATTTTTCATCATCCAGCCTTTTCATAAATTTTAAAGAAGTTCATTTAGAAATGGATTCGCAAAACTTTTAGAGAAAGTAACCAGATAGTGTACCACTAATCATGCTAAAACTATCTTCCCGAGGCAAGGGAGTTAACTGACTATAAAAGTCCAGTTTCCACCCTTCCCGAACTAGGCTGGTATTATGGAGTTACATGTTGACTGGACTAAACATGCTAAAGAGTCTATGCATAGTCCAATCAAAATCGCGCACCGAAATCGAAATCCGGTTCGTAAACTGTCGTGCAGATTTCGGTCGATTGCAGAATTTGCAAAGCATGTGCACCTCCAACTCGTTGTCAGCAGATATTTTCCAAATATTTTCATGTTTTTAATCAAGGTGCTCACGTGATTTGATGCACTTCGCGATGTAAGACCTGTTTTATCACAATATAGACCTTAATTATCGATCAGATCGTCCTGACTCGGCGCCACCATTTTGTGTGAAGCAAACGCAAGTGATTGGTCCATAGGAGAGGCTTAGAAGGGACATAACTGGTAACTCCACTGGGGGCGCTACAATCGAGCCCAGTAATTCCAGCCTAGTTCGGCAAGGGTGGAAACTGGACTTTTAAAGTCAGTTAACTCTCTTGCATTGGGAAGATGGCTAAAACTGACTGAAACAAGTAGCGCTAATGCTTGTCAGTCAAAATGAACAGTCAGGTCAATAGATGATTAGAGTGTCACATGTATTTAATCAGAAAGATTAGCGGGTGTTTTGACTCCGAGCCGACCTTAATGCCGAGCACCAGGCAATTTAACAAGAAGTACCATCTTTTAACGTCTTTTGGTATGACTTGACCGCCCCTTCCGCTCTTCCTGGGAAGACGCTCTACCACTAGACCACAGAAGCGGTCTCAGAAAGGAGGAGCAAAATACAATATGAACTGTACTGTGTAGTAGCATTGATAGCATGGTACTCTGTACTATTGCGGTAGTTAAATTACCTGTTATGGTAATGGTTATTAGCGATTCAAGGGTGGGCAACTCTATGTTATTGCTGCATCACTATTTTTTGGTGTGACAGGTGTGGAATTTGTGGGTAACATCACTTCCTGTTAAGAACTATACATACTCAGTGTGCATACGACCTAAGTTGGGTCAAGGGACATCGTCAAAACATAATTACATTTTCTATTTTCTTTGGTATTGCACTCAATTTTTATATTCATTACAATTAATAAGAAATGCTTTTAATTTGTTGTCTGCAAACTGACGTTAACCAATATTCCCCTATATTTAATTTACACGCGCTTATCCTCAACACTACTAACGTTTCCCTGAATTCACTGAAGGGATAGATGTAGATCTACGATGTAATATTTTTCTGAGGAATACAAACACATTTTTATTGCAAATGTAGGGATTGTGTATGCCGTGGTGACGTGCTTCATTCTGATTTGCTTTATAGATGGGGTATATAAATTAGCATCGATTTTGAAGGCTTGTACAGGGGGGTCGCCTTATACGTGGGGTCGCATTATAGACGGCGATGTACGGTTTGTACTATGGATTTTTGCAATATACACAGGGTTATGCATTTTTGGAAAAATAGCTCACATAGGATTTAGAACAGTATTTTGGGGAAGATATGACAGACAGATAGTAAACTATGACAGAACTGAATGTGCATCATCGTACTGAATTTTCATTTACGCATGAATTAGTCACCTCTTTTCTAAAATTGTATTTGAGCAACAAAGTCAGTTTTGTCCATCAATATTGGCTAAATTTTTCTCTCTTCTAATGAAAATGAGCAAAAGTAAAACGAGATTCGATCATGTACATGCTATAACATGTATAATGGGGAGTTGGCGATAATTGGTCCTCGGCGATAACTTGTCGCTAGCCATTATCCGATTCATAATTATTATGAGCATAAATACTTAAAATTTAAAGTGAGACTAGGCTGGGAACAATTTGTCAGCTTAGTCTGCTATGACTTATTGGTACATCTACAGAATACCAGCTATTTTCAAAATAAAATGATTAAATTAGCAGAAAAAAGGACTCAGTTTGCATTTAGAAATCTAGGCTATATGATTAAACATCAAAACTGAATATCATCGAAAAGTGCACATCAACATCGAAATATTACTTGAAAATAGAAGAGAAATAAAATATAGTTAGCACAATGCGTATCTACACAACAACCGCAGGTCAACGTCAACACTCTCCGCAACTGCGTTGCTGTCTGGCAAACTGGTGATGTTGTTACGCGAAAAAATGATGACAATGAATTACAAAGAACAATGTGAAGTATGACACAAGCTGAATAAAACCCTCTGTCATGAAATAAACTACATTTTGATATGGCATGTCAAAGAGGGATATAAATATTGAGCTAAACACAAATGCATATTATACCTGAGGGTAACTTGTCTGCCATGTTGGTAGAAAAGGGAGTATTCGGTAAGTTGACAGTCAGTCGCCAAATTTGTGGTTATATATTTCAGCACAAATGTTTAAAAATATACAACACATTGTGTTTGGTGTTTTAAATACTAATATGATGATATATGATACTAAATAGTGTCGCCGTGCGTATAAATATATTTGGAAGTTTTCTTTTTGATGTGTAAATAATTTCTCCCTCCTGATGATATTCATCATGGCGGACCTCTCGGCATTGACTGCGTACGTGCCTGTTTGTTTATATTAACAACGCCGCTGTTAGGAGATGAATCGTACTAGTTATTGAATGTCTGTATTCCATTTTATTGTTGTACAATATTACAGTATTTCTGTACTGAAATATCATTACTTTTTGGGTGGAAATACACTGCGAGTTTTATTACATTTAACTGACTTAGGGAGCCTTATATGTGCGCTTCATTCAGTAGTTAACATTTCAAGAATATAACACATGTTGCTTAACATGAATGCGAAGGTCGCTAGATACGTGATGGTACTTTTATCTTTCAATGAAATATATAACCCATGATGAAAACTTTTCTTTTAAATTTCAAGAAGCTATAATATTTACAATATTTAATAACATTTGGGGACACCATTATAGCTACAGGTATGTGTGGTGACATTTGAAGTAAATGATATGACGTTGTTGTGGATTTCATATATGCTATGATATGCACTTATATAGAATTATTACATTTGCATGTGCATGATACTGTTGATATCAGATATCTATATCAGATATCTACAGCAAACTTGAAAGTTTGGGTTTTTCTGAACCAGAGACCATAACATAAAGGTACGGCCCTCCCCAACAGTTTATCATAAACCATCGGCGCTATGGTCTGCCATGTAACTGATATGCCCTGACACCCTGCTCTTAACCTCATGGTACTGCTGCAGATGCAGATACAATATTACATAATATCCACTATGAATACCACAGAAAAATACAATCTGATAAATTGCAGTGGAACTCTGGAAGTATAAATAAAACTCATCCAGACGCAAGCAAGACACTTGTAACAGTTCACCATGTTCCAAATGTTCACAAACTATATATCCAGATTTTCTTCATGTCATATAATAAATCCAGGCTATATTTACTTGCAGACATGCATGGCCTCTGGCTGGTGTAAATGCTTCACTATATTATATGTGATGTATCTATGGGTGTATGCCAAAAATCATTAAGAAATAACAATCGATCGTACCTAAATAATTTTGGAACCAAGCAAAAGGGGAAATTGTGATAAATTTACAAATATTTATTTCCGGACTGATAATAGGAAAATATTCTGCTTAAAGCATGTGAAAATTAATAGGTGCGTAATTATTTTTATGAAAATTCAGATTTAGTCACATTTCAGGAGTCAAAATAAAAAATGTCGCAACTGCCCCAGATTTGTTAATGGCAGTAAATTAATTAATGCCCTTATTTACACATTGATAACCAAGGACTTTCATTGTGAATTAGAAGCTGTCATTGAAAATTACAATCTGCTCTTTTGCCGATTTTTTTTATGTGCACCATTTTGCTCACTCAGACAAAGACAAAGAGTGACCACATTCATCGAATACAATGGCAACAATATGCTTTAGCACACCACCAAATCTCAGTTGTAATGTTGACAATGTTAAGAAATGCATGAGCATAAATATATATTGTGAAATATATTCTTTGCATGGAAATAAGGCGACCCATGATGACTGCAGTGAACGCATTTCCGCTAGTTTCTGGATATAAGGCTGCACAGTGAAAGCCATAGCACTGATGGTTTTGCGCATAGACTAGAGGGATGTCCCTTTATTTTATGGTCTCTGGTAACACATAATGTCTAAACATCCTTTATATAAAGGACATGATGTTTATGTTTCTCAACATTATTTTTAGGTATATGGATTCCCACTCTTCCCTGCTGTGTCACATGATGACGTAGATAAGAGATGTAGAAGGACAGTGGTCAACAATGGACCGCCACCACTACCACCTATCTCGCCACTACCCTAGTCATAAGAGATACTCAGTCCGTCCCCTAGACTATCCAGAGCTTCAAATTACTGGTGCAACACTCCTCAATACTGGACTACACGTGTATGAGACTGCTTATAAAGTCAGGTAAATGATCTACTTAATTTGAATATCCAGTACAAAGTGAAATTGATCTATCTTATCTTTTTCTGCATATCTTGATATGACTGAAGGATTCTTCATAAGGATGGAATTAGAATCCTCATTCTCTTTCAGATTAAATCCTCCTTGGGGCACTTATAACATTTTCCTTGCTCAAGAAAATCTACATGACATAGTTGTAACCATTTTTCCTTAATAATAAATGTTACCACACAAAAAACTTCGTTTTTGTATGATATACGACCACCTTTACAGTGCCTCACCCTCCACGGCGCCCCGCGCCAGGGGGAGTAACTCTCACCCAAATCACTTTCCTTTATGTCATCCGACTGACAAGACTTTTGATTTTCTCAAGAAAGTTTTCTAAGAGGAACCTAATCGTTCACTGAGAGACTATGACTGACCAAACTGTATGTATGGTACATTTCTTTCCTTGCAAAGGCGTAATACCTCGCATTGTAAAGTTATAGAGTTGTACTTCTAATAGAAGAAACGCCACGTGCATGGTACATTTGAATTCAAATGGCCGTAATGGCGTCCATTGTGTAGTTCCACTGTCTGACACATGTAACACCAAGGCCATCAAAACGGCTTATTTTTTTGTTATATCATACAGAATTGAACTACAGGTTTTCCTTTACACAGGTTACACACTACACTTACCTTTTTTACGGGTTTTACACCTTAGTGCGTAACACGCCCCTTTGGTGTTATAATTATACTACAGACATTGGCTATTAGTATTGCATTACAAATCGCATTCTACATTACGCCTTTGCTTCTGTTTTCACAATTTTGCATGTATCTTTCCCATCTTTATATCGCACTGATACACTATTTTCCCGCCCCCTGCCCAACTCAGAATTTACGAGGGACGGGGGAGAGGGCTCTAGGGTCCCCGAGGTTCCTACACCTGCACCCTCTCCTGCACCCTCTTTGGCAGACATTTCTGCTTTACAAAAGTCGCAGATGGCGTCGATGATGGAGGAGGTTAAGTCCTAACTCTGAGAGGAGCTGCGGGCTGGGCCTTCCCCCTTGTCGGCGCCGGACGCGGCCTCGAGGCCCTGTGGAATGCCCGACATCGGCAGAGGCAGGCCACTTGGCCTCGGGGACAATTCGAGACCGGGCTTCGGCTCCGGCTCGAGGTCGCTCACCAGCGGAGGGGTGGCGGGCGCTGGCCCGTTCACTTCCTCCGCACCTTTTTCCCTAGCGCAGCCAGATGCCTTCTCCGAGGCCGAGGCTTCCACTATTGGATCTGTGGCCCGGGACTCGGCTTAGGGCCGGGGGCAGCCCGGCAGGCCTTCAGGCATCCTATTCCTATCTCGTCCGCTACCTCTCTCGAGGATGAGTCGATTACAGTCGGCTTGGAATCGAGAGAGGAGGAGTGGATGGAGGTGGGAGGGGATGACTCGGAGGCTTCGGAGACATTCTCCTTTGTATCCTCGTTGAGGCACGTACGGGACAAGATTGTCCAGGTACTGCCTCAGGTGGCTGCGCCCATGCCCACATAGGATCCGACTGAGTTTCGCTGCTCCAAGCAAGGCGCCCCAGGTGCGGCTCCGCATTTTGTCCTCCTTGGCGCACGAGGTCATCGATCCTGCCCGAACTTATTAAGCGGTACCCGTTAGCAGAGGACGGTGATTTCGAGGTTCCAGTGGTCAACGAATGCGTCTGGACTTAGGGGGGTCTTCGGCTAAGGCCAAGCAGGGCCCGCGGTTGCCCCCCTTTCCCATGTGCGCTGCGGAGCTGAAGGCTGCATACATTTGCTTCGAGGAGCAATACCGTAATGCATGCCAATACACTCCGCCTATCTGTCTGCTGTACAGAGGGAGCTGGTGGGGGAGGGGCCGGCTGACTCCTCGGAGTTTGATGCGCAACTGACAGAAGTTCATAGTCATCTCGCGCGGGACGCTATTCGTAGCTGTGCCTCGCAGATGATGTGCGCTGTCATGGGCATGCGCAGGCTGTGGATGTCGGTGTCTAAGTACTCCGCATCCACACGCCTGGACCTCCTAGATTTGCCATATAAGATGGGTGCCACCCTCTTCCCTGGGGCTCAGCAGGTGGTCCGAGAGGCCGCTCAGTTGTACGCTTCGATCAAGGACTCTAAGGCCTTGTTGGAGGTACCTAACGCTAAGCCGCGTAAGTGGACCTCTCCCCTTGACTCTTCCCACGCTGACACGCCGGGTCAGAAGTCTGCACCTGCTTGAAAGCAGCCGCTTCCTTCAGGTAAAGGCGCAGGGAGAGGCAAGAGAAACAAGGGCCGGGGCAAGGCGGCTGGTCGAGGCCAGCAGCCGTTTTGCGGGGCCGGGAAGACCTCGGGTTCCCATTAGCGCCCAAAGAGCCCCGGGTGGACGCACAGTCACCAGTTCTCGAACTGCAGACAGCCGGGATCCACTGCCTCAAGCCGGATGTCCCCATAGGCGGCCGACTGGCTCTATTCCTCAAGGAATGAGAGACAGTAACATCCAATCCCTGGACCCTGTCCACTATCAGGGAAGGCCATTTGCCTCGGTGGAAACACCATCCGCACCCCTTCTCCGGAATAAATCACACTCCGGTGCCTGCTACCCGAGAGAAGGCGGAGTTCCTCCGTACCGAGGTCGACGCACTTCTTATGAAAGCTGCGATCGAACCGGTTCCCAAGGGACAGGAAAATGAGGGCTTCTACTCGATGTATTTCCTAGTCACCAAACAAGACGGAGGGTTCAGACCTATTCTCAATCTGAGAAGGCTGAACAAACTTATAGAGGTACCGTCCTTCAGGATGGAGACACTGCGCTCAGTGATCTCAGCTATCGAGACAGGAGAATGGCTAACGTCAGTAGACCTAAAAGACGCCTATCTCCACGTACCCATACACCCCGAGTTCAAGAAATACCTGAGGTTTTCTTTCGACGGGAGGTGTTATCAGTTCAGGGTTGTACCATTCGGGATCTCCACGGCCCCGAGGGGGTTCACCAAGCTGATGATTCCTGCCCAAGTGGCCAGGTCGAAAGGTCGGTTCTGCCATCCGTACCTCGACGACTGGTTACTAAGAGCTCTATCGCAGTCCCTGAGTCAGATAGCTACACAAGAAGTGATAGACATTCTGATCACTCTAGGGTGGATAGTCAATCTCAAGAAGTCAGATCTGAGCCCTACTCAGAATCTTGTCTTCCTAGGGGCGAACTTTAACACAGTGAGCGAACATGTATCTCTATCACAAGATTGCATAGTCAAGGTCAGAAGTGTTACTTCCCAGTTCCTTCTGTCCACAAGACACACTGCTCGTACATGGCTCCAGTTACTGGGCAACATTGCGGCGACAGTGGATGTGGTTTGGCGGGCGCGCTTGAGAATGAGACCCATTCAACAAGCGCTCCATCGACTTTGGGTGAACTCGGAAGATCTCGAGACTGTTCTTGAGACTCCGCAGTGGCTCATTACACACCTTCAGGTTGGGAATCTGTCCCCGGGGCTCCCCCTCGACACTCCCGTTCCGTCTCTCTCACAGTTCAAACAGACGCGTCACTCTCCGGCTGAGGAGGCATTCTGAACAATCACACTGCCTCGGGACTATGGTCCCAGCAGGAGATCAAACTGCACATCAATGTGCTAGAACTGAGAGCGGTCAGGTTGGTGTTCCAACGCTTCCTGGATCTGCTTCGTGGCCAAGTGGTTCGTCTAGAGATGGAAAACCAAACGGCGATGACTTACATCTGGAAGCAGGGGCGAACGGTGTCTCCGTCGCTTCTCCAAGAGACGTGGCAGTTCCTCCTATGGTGTGACACTCACGATATCAGGGTGATACCTGTTTATCTCTCGGGGGTGGAAAACGTCCGTGCGGACGCTCTGTCTCGCCGGATCCTCGCTTCTCACGAGTGGAGGCTCGACCCGGGGATATTCGGGATTATCTCCCAGATATACGGGTCGTTCCAGGTGGATCTGTTTGTGTCTGGGGTGAATCACCAGACACCAACGTTCTGCTCCCGAGTCCCCGACCCGAGGTCGGTGGCACCAGACGCCTTCCAGCTAGATTGGACGGACGTTCTGTGGGCATTCCCGCCAGTCCCTCTGATTTCCAAGGTCCTATCTCAGCTAGCCACTCAGCCTGCGCGACTACTTGTTCTCCTGGCACCTCTTTGGTCGGCGCAGAGTTGGTTTCCAGTAATACTCAGGTTTTTGGCTCAGCCTCCTGTTCTATTACCTTTATGACCGGACCTCCTATCCCAGAACGGGGCCCTCCACCCAAATCCCAGGATTCAATGGGTGGCTAGGCCACTGTCAGGAATCGCCTCCAGAAGAGCGGTATTCCCGCACGAGTTGCAGACACAATACTGGCTTCGCGGAATGATTCGACAAACGTTCAGTAAGAGGATAGATGGGCCTGCTATGGGCGCTGGTGTGTCGATAGAAGGATTGCAGATCCCTTTTCTGCAGATCTCGTAGCCATGCTTGAGTTCCTCCAGTCGCGACTAGATGACGGCCTGGCCGCATTGACAGTCCAGGCGTACTCTACAGCTATTGCAGCTTTTCACGCCCTGTCGACGGGGCACTTCTGGGTGCAGCGCTTTTTAGCAGGTGTGGACAGGATCTGACCCCCTGTGCGGCGGATCAGTCCCCCTTTGGACTTGTCAATCGTTCTTGATTGGCTGTCCGGTCATTCCTTTCGGGATCTGTCGTCTCTCTCTCTTCAGCTGTTGAGCTGGAAGACAGCATTCCTTGTGGCAGTAACGTCCTGCAGAAGGGTAGACGACATTCTTGCAATGTCAGCTGATCCCGAACTAACTGTCTTCCACCGGGACCGAGTCAGTATTCGGCTGCCAGACTCTTACCGTCCTAAGGTCGCACACGCCTTCCACGTGACCGCTCCTATTGAGCTACCTGCTCTTTAACAGCCTTCCTCGTCGGGGACCACTGCAAGACATGCTCAGCAGAACTAAGGGTATCCGTTAGGATAACCAACTATTTTGCTGTTACGGCGGTAGGAAGGCTGGCTCACCTGCGAGCAAACAATCTATCTCAAGGTGGATAGTTTCAACCATTTGTACAGCGTATATGCTTCAAGGCAGGGACCCCCCTACCAGGTTGAAGGCTCATTCAGTTAGAGCAGTGGCTACGTCACAAGCGTATACCGCAGCTCTGCCCATTGAGGAGATCTGCTCCGCGGCTATTTGGAGCCAGCCAAGCATGTTCATCAAACATTACCAACTCGACAAACACTCAAGCGAGCGTGCTCGGTTTGGTCAGTCAGTTCTCCGAACTGGGCAAAGTTCTACATCTCTAGCTGATTCAGCCTTCGAGATTTTAGATCGTCCTCCGGTTATACTGCTCAGTAATGGTCTGGATTTTATCTTCTGCGGTCGATAAATATCAGTCCTTACTACTCGATAATACTCGTATCTGCACACGCACTCCTTCGATCTTCGGGGAACCTCTGACCTAGTTTTGCGCAGGTTAAGTCTCGCGTGATCTTCGCCCCCATCTTACTTGTTCAAACAAAGCGGAGGAGGGGGGGGGTTTCGAGTTCTCGAATTATGATAAGCCACACATTACTGGCTATTTCTTTCATAGAGTATGGTTGACCACGCCCTGTCTCTAGCCCCCGCCTCTTGACGGTGGTGCCTCACGATAAGGTTGGTTCCATTTATTGAACTCTTTTTTTATTCATTGAATAATCAGAATACGATGTATTTATTTACTCTTGTTGCTGACAGATGCCACTTCCTAGATTATCTTTAGGAGTCTATCTTGATGCAATAAGTGCCCCAAGGAGGATTTAATCTCAAAGAGAATTTTACAAACCAGTAGAGGTTATGAATTCTCTGATGAAATCCTCCTTGGGGCACGGCCACCCACCTCCCCACATTCCTTCAGCATTAGACATATGGAAAGTGATTTGGGTGAGAGTTACTCCCCCTGGCGCGGGGTGCCTTTCAGGGTGAGGCACTGTAAAGATTTTGGTGTGGTAACATTTCTTATTAAGGAAAAATGGTTACAACTATGTCATGTAGATTTTCTTGAGCAAGGAAAATGTAATAAGTGCCCCAAGGAGGATTTCATCAGAGAATTCATAACCTCTACAGGTTTGTAAACATTTTCATTGTGATGTAGCTTTGGTAGTTATTGCTAACTAAATCTAGTTTTCACTCACTCATTTACAAGGGTATTTCTTTATGTTAATCATTAAAATAAGGCTATAGGGAGGGGGCAGGTAGCTCTTGTACTTGGGTCATGCGACTCCTGAGTAGGACCCGGGTACCCACAGGACTACGCATATTAATTTTATGGCTGATTTTAGACTAGGTTTTGGTGCTTTCAGTAATTTAGTGCCACATTAACTTCATGATTTACAGTACTTTATATCTGGTATATTTCACTATATATTTCCAGGCATGACCCAGATCATGAGAGTATCAACGCAGTGTTGGCAAGACTGGAGAACTACCAGCATCACCGGGGCCTGCCACCAGTGTGTGTGGTCTGTGAGTGTCAGAGAAACGTGCAGGCCGCCGGCAAAGCCAAGTCAGCACTAATGGCTTTAGATAGCGGGGACAGCGACAGTGACACTGACGATGAAGGTGAGATTAGTGAGACGTTGATAGGCAAGATCCAAGTGGGAATCAGAACGTTACTTTGCTTGTAAATCTGAAGTCTGGTTACCAGAACTTGGCGCCTTGATACCCCATTCACCTTGGTTTCTTAAACTGTCAGTATGTAGACTTAATGAGACCGTGCTTCTACGTCTATGTGTTCTGTGGTTCTTCCCATCAGCATCGTTTTAGATTGTAATTTCTCCAGGTTGATTCCATTCAGACCTGTGTTAGAATAGATCCCCAGCACTGTTTAGCTATTCATAAGAGGTGACTACTTTGGATTGGGTCAGGCTCTTACAATTGGTTCATTTCAAGTCATTTTACCCTGATGTCAGTGGTTTGTCAATTATTTGCAGTCTACCGTGATATCTCGGAATATTGCTGACTGTGGCATTAACAAACAAAAATCTAATGATGTATGTAATGAAATATGTTTCAGATGCTCTAACAATCGATAACATGTTGAGATTAATGGAGCGGTATATGACTCGTGCAACAAGTGCCTCTCAGATGAAGACAATGGTCAGACTCATTAACAACCACACCATTACAGATTACATAATGGCAGAACAAGTCAGGAAGGTACTTGGCAACAGATTCACAATAAGTGGACTATAGATCTGATATCTTTATAACACAATCACTCTTCTGACTCAGGTAATAAGGGATCCGACATAGAGTTTTCATTGATTGGAAATATAAAATATAGATATATTGACTCAAAAGCATCACAATATATATTGATAAAAAAAATAAAATTATAAAGTTAATTATTCTGTATGTGTATAGATAAAATATTAATGTATTAATCATTTTAATGCAAAATATGAACTAGGCTGAACCATTAAATTAAGTTTTCTGCCTTCTAATGGTCCATCTTTTCCATGCTTAATGCTTCTGTGGCAGGGAATTATTAAGTTAGTGTCGATATTCATAGTTTGTATTGATACAGTATCGTCTTTTCGCAATGTACGATGACATTCCTAGTCCTAAGAGAATCTCACGTGCCATTAATTACAGCACCTTGACTCAAGGACCCTATTCTATTTTCTTGGACATGAGTATTTGAAAGGGAGACAACTCTAGCACAGAGACATAGGCTATATCAAAGAATAAAACATGAGTGTGTGTTCTATATGTCTCATCTTGATCATGGTCACCAAAATCATGTTTGTTGTTTATGAATGACAGCATTTGTGGTAAAAAGGAATGGTTTTAGGAATGGTTGCTCAAGCTTTTGAGAATTTTGGCCTCTGATGTAGCAAAGTTTTGGGATATCCTGACAAACATTTATTGCCTTTGATGCAGCTGCAAGCACTGTTACGTAGAACCAAACCAGAACTCAGAGAAGCAGGTCTGCTGTTGATAGAGCAGCTGTGTTGTCAAGAGGATAACGCTGTCATCATGGCTGAAGAAGAAATATTCAATGATCTTCTGACAGTTCTTTCATCACCTCACAGCATTAGGGTACAGGTGGCTGCACTCAAGGCAGCAGATAAGGTACATTATATTTATATATGTATATGTATCTGTATCTGTATGGGAGTTAAAAGGGTCACAGGGTGCCACTGGGTTCAGGGAGAATCATTGAGAGCCACAGGGTTCAGGGAGAATCAGGGAGCGCCACAGGGTTCAGGGAGAATCATTGAGAGCCTCGGGGTTCAGGGAGAATCATTGAGAGCCACGGGGTTCAGGGAGAATCATTGAGAGCCACGCGGTTCAGGGAGAATCATTGAGAGCCACGGGGTTCAGGGAGAAACATTGAGAGCCACGGGGTTCAGGGAGAATCAGGGAGCGCACAGGGTTCAGGGAGAATCATTGAGAGCCACGGGGTTCAGGGTGAATCATTGAGAGCCACAGGGTTCAGGGAGAATCATTGAGGGTTCAGGGAGAATCATTGAGAGCCACAGGGTTCAGGGAGAATCATTTAGAGCCACAGGGTTCAGGGAGAATCATTGAGAGGCACAGGGTTCAGGGAGAATCATTGAGAGCCACAGGGTTCAGGGAGAATCATTGAGATCCACGGGGTTCAGGGAGAATCATTGAGGGTTCAGGGAGAATCATTTAGAGCCACGGGGTTCAGGGAGAATCATTGAGAGCCACAGGGTTCAGGGAGAATCATTTAGAGCCACAGGGTTCAGGGAGAATCATTTAGAGCCACAGGGTTCAGGGAGAATCATTGAGAGCCACAGGGTTCAGGGAGAATCATTGAGAGGCACAGGGTTCAGGGAGAATCATTGAGATCCACGGGGTTCAGGGAGAATCATTGAGGGTTCAGGGAGAATCATTGAGAGCCACAGGGTTCAGGGAGAATCAGGGAGCGCCACAGGGTTCAGGGAGAGCCTCAGGATTTAAGGAGGATCATGAAGAACCAGGACCAGGTTGGAGAGGATCAGGTTGCGTAACAGGGCTCAGGGGCAATAGGAGGGTTCAGGGAGAGCCACATGGTTCAGAGAGAGGTGGGGAGGTTATACGTAAGTTTAGTTGTTTAAATTATGATTAAAAAAATGTAAGGAAACAGAGGTTCAAAATATATTTATTTGGAATCTTTTGTGTTATAGACGTAAAATGTTTTTGATGTGAAGATGCAGTTGTCTCTGTTTGCAGCTGTTCTCTCACAGTCAAGTTGCTGACAAGCTGATGGAGGCTGTTGATGAAGTGTTGATGGCGGTGCTCTTGAGAGTTCTCTACAGTGAGCACCCACTAGAGATGAAATATGCCAGTTGCTGTGTGCTCCGTACACTGTCAAAACATGAGAGCACTGCAGGACTGGTGGGTCAGGAACTTCTTTTCATTGTCAAAGAATTAAAGGAGAGCAGCTCAAAAATGAAGGTACCCCTAATTTATTCCTTTTATGATTGAAACGCTAAAGTATTGATTCTTTCATTGTGCTACCACGTGCACACTCCAGTGTGAATGATGAGGAGCATATTTAAGTCATATTGGCCCTCGTCAGGCTGTACTGGATTCGGCGTTGCCTCGGGCCAATATGACTGACCAAGGACCTATACCAAGGCCGATATGAAAACACCCATACAATAACATATTAATGACGTATGTCCACATGACTTTGCATTCAAAGTTTGTTCCTCTGTAAATTAGAGTTGTGTCAAAATCTTGTCCTTGTTACCTTGTTACCAAAAGTGTTATAAGTAACTCAAGACATAAAAGCAGATAATGATGTAAGGCCATTATCGTAAGGAATTTCTTTTCTTTATTTGCTGTTTTATGCTCCACTCAACATTATTCAAGCTTTATGATGGGGACCTGTGAATAATCAAGTCTGGACCACACAAACCAGTGGTTGATAGTATGAACGATATCCTACGTTGTCAGGGTATGATGACATTTAATCAACCAAGTCAATGACCCTAACCACTCCATCTATTTAGTCGTCTCTGAGACAACCTGCATAGGTTGCCGGGTTAGGTTATTAACAGGTTTTACTGCATTGATTATTCACCTTGGCATACAGTTTCATAATACACGACATGGTCTCATGGATTTGTTCATGGTATATTTCAGGAAGTATTTGTGGAGATTGTGATCAACCTTTATCGTCAAACTGATGTTATATACCCAGATATGATTGACAAGAACATCATTAGATCTACCACATCGATGATTGTTGACGGACCATGGTAATGTACCTTTGAAGTTGTATATTTCTGATAGAAATATATGAAGCAACATTCTCAAACACTAGGCAAACTATTTTGGGTATCTGGGGTTGACGAACATTTATTCATATATTTGTAGGTGAAGTTAGGCACCATGAACAGTTAATGAAACATTCAAAACTTTAAAAACTGATGAAAAGCATTTGAATTATTTAAAAACTCTGAACTATATGGCTCACAGGATTATGACTTGTCAACTCTGCATGTGTTGCAGTGGTGTGCAGCGGCAAGCTCTCTACTTGGTGTGTTGTTTGGTGGAGGATGACGCCGAAGTAGCCGACGTTATCAACAACAAGGATCTGATGCTGTACGTGATGCAGCTGATGAGGGACTCCAAGTGTAGGTGAGTCATCCGGAAACAAGTCGTCAGTACTTTATGCTTGTTCTAAGGGTGATTGGAAAGAGGATTTGATCGTCACAATGGCTTCATATGATGGACACAATGTGATTGGATGACCTTTGAGGTCCAACACTTAGTATATTTTACTTTTGTGACCTTTCACATGGCTCATGAATTTTATGTTTTGTTTGAGTCTGCTCTTGAATTACACTCAAAGAATTGTGTGGTTTTACTGGTATAAAACTACATTAACTTACATGAACAAAATTCTGTCCAGGAAAGTGCGCGAGGTTGCAGGGAAGATAGTCCAGACGATGTGTGGGTGTCGTAAAGGCTCGCTCGCCCGCACGGTGATGGAACACTTCACAGCGTTCTTGCACCCAGAGGAGGACCACCTCCATCAAGTTGGGGACACAACTGCGCGGGGGTCGTCCAAGATTGTCTACCCTGTCAGAGTGAAACACCAGGCAGAGGCACGGAACTGGCAGTCATTTGATCAGTTCCTCGCTCTCATTGGGAAGCTGATAACTAAACATGGTGAGCTCTATGGTTTGTTTGTAGGTATTATTTCTGTCAGAATGTATTGTGAGCTGATCTCATCTCAATAGACATGTGTTTAGGAAGGGATGGAAAGATAGACTTAACTATCGATGCATTGCAATTAACAGTACATGTACATCTATGATGTGATAAATAGTGATAGTTATCAATGCTGCACTACTGAATGGTAAGGAGCAATGGACATAAAAACTAAAATTTACATTTATTTTGCTGTAAATGTTGATTATATCAGACAGTATTCAGAGGTACCAGTACCTCCCTTGACATCTTCCCAAACAAAGCGTTGAATCAAGGACTTGTTGACATGTAAGACTCTGTCAGTATGTAGAGTGAGTCAAGGAAATTCTATTTTTCAGAGAAGTAAAAAGTAGTTTATGAAACTGTTGCAATACTATTTATACACTGAGTATAATGATTTAACTTACAATTGATCTTTGCCTCAGTAAAAGGTAGCCGATAACTCTTCGGACTATCTGGGATTTATATAGGGTTCAAAAGTTGGAGTTGGGAAAAAATGGGATTTTGTTTGTAATTGGTATTTTTCTTTTCTTTACCTGTGCTCGTGGGTTTCACCGAAGTGGTAAACGTCTGGGACCTGCATCACTTCTGACTTTCCTACACTAAGCTGACACGCCGTGATATAACTGGAATAATGTTAAAAGCGGCATTAAACCCGACTCACTCACTCACTCACTCACTCACTCACTCATCGACCAACCCACCCACTCACTCACTCACTCTCACTCACTCACTCACTCACTCACTCACTCACTCACTCACTCACTCACTCACTCACTCACTCACTCACTCACTCACTCACTCACTCACTTAATGGATCAGGTGGTCAGACCCAGTGACTTAGTTAATAGTGTGTCAGCATGCCCTGACAATGTGGATTCTTGCTGATATTATCAATTACTGGTTTGTCTTGTCCAGACTTGACTATTTACAGGCTACTGTCATATAAATGTTGAATATGGCGGAGTGTGGCATTAAACAACAAACAAACACTGATGACTGGGTGTCATTGGATCTGATGAGAACACGACTTGACTTGAGCTATTTATTTCCAGCAATGATAAAACAGGATCCATTAAACAAGCAGCTGATGATAGATGACAACCCAACCACCGAGTGGAACTGTCACCAACTTGGTTACCTAGCATCGCTTGTTGCCATAGCAACCAAACTCACCCAGTGGCCAGTTGAGAAGACCAAGTCAATTCAGAAATTAGATCCTTCAGACTTGACAGATGATGAAAACATGAGGTGAGATGTGTAAGAATTTAGCTGTAACCACATTGAAGTGTTAAAGATGAATGAACACGTTACACTTCAGTAAAAACATCATGCAATGTTCATTCTTGAGTGCTCCTGTATCTGTGTTCATTATAAGGCAGAGCCTCCTTGGTCTAATGGATACAGCATCTGCCTGGAGAACGGAAAGTCAGTGGTTCAATCCCTGACTGCGTCATACCAAAAGACATTAAAAGATGGATCTTCTTGTTACCCTGCTTCGCATTAAGAGGATAAAATAAGCACTGGTCAGCACTGTCAGTACAATGTGTATGAGTGGGATATTCATGTTAAACTAAAGCATGGTGTCCAGTGGGCTAGCACTAGAAAAGTGACATTAGTCCAGACTAGTCAAGGAAACAAGCACATGCACATGTATGTCGCTATATAGGGGCATTCTCATATCTCATATCATAAACATTAAATGCATTTATGACATAAACATCCGTCAATATGCTCCACTTGTCGATATGTTTACATCGGAAATGATCTGTTTGGTGCAAATCATGACACCTTCATTACCTCCAGATCAGATCACAGGAAGCAAAGTATTTCGGGATGGAGCTTTTTTGCAAGGGTTAAAAGCAGACTTGTCGATTTCTGTACCTAAAACACCACACTGGCTGGTATATTTTGGCGATAATCAGCTATAAACATATTAAGACACTTTTGAGTTTGTTCTGTGAAAGGTGGTTATTTATATTTCCTTGGCCCTATTACAAGGACCCTTGTCTTTCTTTATTGACTCCTTTTTCTTGTCACATAAGATTCTAATTGTCTTGCATGCTTGGCAACTTTACCAGCTGCCTATTCTTATGATATTGTGTTTTATTAGAGAATTCAGCTGACTTGTAGTGACAGCAAAATATTCTTTTTTTCAGAAACAAACTCAAAGGTGTGAATCGACAGCTTACAGCAGAAGTTTGGACGACGTGTGGTCGTCAAGTTGCTGTTCTTTTATCCAAATTTGCAGAAAAAGTTCAAATCAGATGCAATCCATTGTCAGCCCGTCCTGGCTCACGGCAATCCATGCGATGTCCTTCACCTATGTCAGGTCGGAGGAGCAAGACTCCTCGAGGTGACATCTTGAATGATTCAGAAATCACCCTCGTTAAAAGCCTGCTGGAATTTTTCTTGTTCGTGTCTGTGGCAACCTGCACAAACAAGAACTTCATAAAAAACACTGTTGTAGAGAAACCTGAAAGAGAGTCGGTTTCACGTTCAAGGGAAGGATTGTGGGTAATGGAGAACCCCCACCTTACACAGAGTATTGAGCGACAGTCGACGACGGACGCAGCAGAGGTGATAGAGAGAAGACAGCAGGAGCTGGCGGAGAAAGAAGCCAGTGCAGATCGCAGGTTGCTACGAAAAGGCCTGTACGAGGAAGACCTCTTCAGATTTGTCTCTCCCTTTGTTACATTTGAGAATGAAGATTTGAGGGTGAGTCTACATGAAAAAGGGAACATTTTGGTTGAGTTAATAATGCCACTTCTTTCTGTATGGATAATGTTCTTCATATAGAGTTCCCAAACTTTGAGGGATGATGGGTAGCCTTGTAGTTAAAGCATTTGCTCGTCAAACCGAAATCCTAGGTTTGATTCCCCACATGGGTGCAATGTATGACGTCCATTTCTGGGGTCCCCTGCTGTGATGTTGCTGTAATATTGCTGAAAGCAATGTAAAACCATACTCACTCACACTAAGTCTTTGGGTGTTAATATTAACATAATAATTACTTCAGCTGGTACATTGATGTCTATTGAGAGGATATTTCATACCTTGCCAATATATGTCCAACATTTATGGGAATCAAGTACACTCTTTTGTAAAAGAATATATTGTAAATTATTGTCAAGCAGTGTCCACCTTAATAATTTAGATATGTTGCATAATGAGTTGCAGTTCAGTTTGCTATTGATAATACCAGATTCACAGTATAGTGAGGGGGCACGGGTGGCCCAGTTGTCTAAGGTGCCGCGATTTTCTGTGCAGAGTTGCGTCCCTTGGGCAAGCCAGAAACCCCGATTATGTTTCTAGGTTTGTCGGCACCATACCCGAGCTCGTGGGTTTCACAGAAGTGGTAAAATTCTGAGACCTGCATCACTTCGAGCTTTCTTCCAACATTAACCTGACACGCCGTGATATGACTGGAATACTGTTAAAAGCGATGTTAAACCCAACTCACTCACTCACTGTATAGTGACCATGCAAAGATTGGAAATTTACATAATAGCTAGTATTCTCTTGTGTATGTTACAGATTTTTAACAAACACAGTGTTGATGGGGTATATAATTGCCTAGTGACTATTATAAAAAAAGTTTGCATTTCATCAATGTTTGAACCAAGTTTGTTCTTTACAGCTTGATCTCTGACTACAAATTGAACTTATTGTGTAGGTTTTTTTTTAAAAGTACCAAACTTTGTTAATTCATTCACTGTGAATATGCTAATAAGACTAATGATAAGAATAACTTCCTTTGGATTGCACCAGATTCCATACACCAGGTGAATACTCAAGGTTCTACGTAATTATTATCCCGAGATCAATCATTTGATAGAACAGCAGACATATATAATGCACTGTTTCTATGAAGTATAACTCTTTGAATATCCCAAAGCATATTAATTCCAATCAACCTGTAACTCACCCCCGCAGATCCAGTGGGAATGCCATGGAAATTAATAATTGAGTAGAAATTAATATTTAGATCCTCTAGCTTTCATGGGATATTTTGAAAGTCCTCAAAATAGGAACTGAACTTTGTGTTTGCCAAGAGGGTTGGTGGTAATTTTTTTCCTGTGAATGAGTGAGTATGGTTTAATGCTGCTTTCACCAATATTCCAGCAATATCACAGCAGGGGACACCAGAAATAGGCTTCTCACATTGTACCCGTGTGGGGAATTGAACATAGGCCTTCCACGTGACAAGCAAATACTTTCACCACTAGGCTACCCCACCTCCCCTTGTCCCAGTAATGCATTTTACATATGTGGTTAGGCAGAGATCGAGAGATGGCAGGTGGATCCCAGTGCATCCTGACTTGGATGTATCCAGGAAGCAAGAGTTGATAAATGAGGCTTCCACTTCACCCACTGATTTACCTACACAAAGACTGAATAGTGTTGGCTGTAAGTCACCCTACAGTAATGAGTTATTGTAATCCTCCAGGAGACAGCGGCCATGATCTTGAGGTGTGGCATTCAGCCCCTTGATGAGAAGCTGGTGGCCTCCGACCTCCACACATCCAATGGGTCAAACGCTGGACCTGTGAATGTCTACAAACCAAGGCTCAGGTCAGCTATACACTACTTTCTGCTATTGTATCAAAAACTGGGCATTTGTCATTTTAGAACTAATTCTGTTTTAATCATTGATAAACGTAAGAATGATTAGCAGGGCACAGTATGAAAGAAATAGGATTGATGATCCGATGCCTTGTATTTTGTAAGCTTATTTTCTTGAGGAATCAGTCTTTAAGGTTGTTTGTATATGATATAGCTAACATCTCGAGTGTTGAAATGGATATCACCCAGAGGGGGACGCCAGGCTACTTTATCATATACCTATCAATGATATGGGGCGATCAATTGTCAAATTTCCACACACGCAGTCACGCAAGCACACATGCACACACACACGCAATAAAGAACATGGAAACTGTTAGTCATGTTACCCCAAGCTTTCATTTGATGGAGCAGGAGTGCTATAATTATTTGATATTTGGCTCACCTGGATTTTGCTTATATTGTGTAATATTATGTTTCCCAATGAAATAACTGTTTTGTACAGTCGTTTATCTTCTGATAAGATTATTCCACTGCATTTACAAATTAATTTTAGTGCAAAAAAAACCCTCTACAAGTACATTGTACATTGTAAACACAGCATGTCTATCTCCCAAGTGAGTGTAATAATGTCTATGGTATTGACTGGTGTACTGAACTATAGTTTAACTGTGTCTATGCATTGCTACAGGCCCCAGTCTGCCAAGACGCACAAGGAGCGGGACAGGAAGATGAACATCGCCCTGCACAGGATGTCCCCTGAAGTGGCAGGGGTGATGAGGTCAGCCATAGGGTCTCGCCCCTCGTCAGCTGATACATACAGTGAGTACAACTTGTACATGCAAACATGATCATCACATGCAAACAAGCTGATGTAAAGCAGATTGTTTATGGTGAGAAAGCAAATGCCCCTATTCGTTCACTGACCTAGCCTGTATAACTGAATTGAAAACTAATCAGATATCTTTTATTTTTTAAAAGATAGTCATATTTTTAAAATGTTTCAAAATACATTTAACCATTTCCATCAAGGATATGAATATAATGCAGGCCTGTATATTCTATTTCCATATGTATAAAAAGACTCATATTGTATATTGTGTTGATGAATTATCCTAGTATGTCAGACACCTGATGCCACTGTATTCTTGTACATGACTAGATGTGAGTCAGAGAAACAGGTCAGTTTCTAAGTTTGGCCGCGGTCAGCCGACAATTGACCTGACCCAGCCGATTGCCCAGCAGTGTCGCAAGGTGACGGTGGACAACTGTGGAAGTCAACTCCTGCAGGGGCTGTTCAGCAAATCTCGAGATGTCCGCAAGAGTTGTCTCCTCTTGATTCATGATCTTGTCAGTCATGGAAATGTAAGTCTTCCTGTTAATTACCTTTGAGGAATTTGACAGATCAAAATTGCATGAGGATATTGATTGCACATAAGAACTTGGTAGTTACAGTCAGAAAAATGTGATCAGATTTGTTAGTGCCAGTGGTCTTTGTACATGTTGATTCACCACAGTAAGGTAACACTGCAAACTACAAAATGTTATAAAATAAACGTTCAAAGTCATCTTCTTGTAGATGAACTTGATTGGTTATGCCCTTTGTATGAACATAATATGTCTACCTAAGAAAATACATATGCTGCCTGGGGCGGTTGGGTAGCCTAGTGGTTAAAGCGTTCGCTCGTCACGCCAAAGACCAGACATGGGTACAATGTGTGAAGCCCATTTCTGGTGTCCCCCACTGTGATATTGCTGGAATATTTCTAAAAGCGGCGTAAAACCGTACTCACTCACTCACATATGCTGCCTCATATACTACTCAAAAGAAGTTAAGGACCACCCACGACAGATTAACTGTAGTAATATGAAAGAATTGGGTAGTCCATGAAGCCTTTTGAGTGGTATATATCGGTGAATGCCATGTTGACCCTGTATGATCATTGTCAGGTTGAAACACACATGCAGCTGTCGGAGCTGGGGTGTATCCCCCGCCTTATTGACTTCCTGCGCATCAATGAAGATGACGAGATGCTGGAGATTATTGGTGAGCCTTGATGATACTGATGCCACATCAGTAGTTATGCCACAGTGGAGTCAATGGATGCCGTAACAATACAAAAGTGGTGACATTATACACAAAAAGTTGATTTTTTTTGTAACTCTATGAGCTGTAAAATAATACTACATAGGGATGAGAATTTTCTATGTAGGCCTATCCGCAGGATTCTGCAGATGTCATTACTTCAACGGTCACTATTGTGATACATGCCATTACAAAACACACATAAATTATTATAGTTCCCCTAGCTACTTTTCATTTTTTTTAAAGAAAAAACATTTTCCTCCCTGAATATATCTAGAAATCTAAACAAAATATTAGAGACCATGAAATGCTGTCAAAGTAACTGCCTGAAAAAAGTCTGTGGGTGATCACTGTAAAACCCCATAAGCTCAAACCTTCAACAAAACTCATGAGATGAGAGAGATATATTGGATGTTCATGCTGTACAATGTGAAATTTGTAACATTCAAAAATTTTAGTCATCTTAACACTGACTTCAATGATGTACATATCTACTGACAGCTATCATCCTGACGAGGATGTTGATTACTAGTGACTACCGCCTGAAGCAGCTGTTCAACCGCCATGGTGGGGCCAACCTGTTGCTGTCCATGTCCCAGAACAGCAGTGGGGTGTTGAGGGAGGAGATCAAGTCTACCTTGACAGCCCTTACACAAGGTGGGTGTGGCAGGGTTAATGATGGGTCCATGTCCCAGAACAGCAGTGGGGTGTTGAGGGAGGAGATCAAGTGTACCCTGACAGCCCTCACACAAGGTGGGTGTGGCAGGGTTAATGATGGGTCCATGTCCCACAACAGCAGTGGGGTGTTGAGGGAGGAGATCAAGTCTACTTCACACTATGCTATGTCTTTATTTTGATCAAAGCTTTGGATGTTTGTGATACGTCTGGTTAATGCAGTAAACCCTGTGTATCTGCAGGCATGTCCCGGCAGACCATGAGGCCTAGCTCAGCACCAGCTCAACGTCCCGACGATGGGAAGGAGCCAGATATCTGGGATAATGTGAGTACACAAAGGGATACACTGAAGAAACCTGTATCAGGTCAATCATAGTTGTTGTCAGGAATGAATGCTATACAAAAAATGACATTATTATGTCTGTGATTGATGTTTGTTAAATATACATTTATTCAGATTTGTGTGTGTGTGTGTGTGTGTGTGTGTGTGTGTGTGTGTGTGTGTGTGTGAGGGAGGGAGGGAGGGAGGGAGAGAGAGAGAAGGGGGGGGGGGGGGGGAATCTCACTGATAGGAACAATGAAAGCCTCATAGCTGAGATGTATTATTAGGTCTTGAAATTCATATATGAGTGACAAACTGGTGTAGTGGATAGAGCATCTGCCTGGAGAGCAGAAGGTTGTGGTTCAATCCCTGGGCCCTGTCACACCAAAAGACATCAAAAGATGAAACCTGATGTTACCATGCCTGGCACTTGACATTAAGGGCACAAATCAAGGACTGGCCGACTCAGATTCAACATACTGTGTCTGAGTGGGGTATCCATGTTAAACTGTGCCATGGTATCTCAGTCAGAAAGCGCTATAAAATCAGCTTTAAGTCTGTACAAGTACAAGCAGCCACTCTTGCATGTGCACTCACATCGCTGTAAGAGTGAAATAACCCACTTCACCTCACTTCAGTTAGGAATGACCAGTTGGCTTGGGGCAGAATAGGTCCTCAGTACCCATGCTTGTGACAATCCCTGATTAGAATAAGGATCTGATGGCTGGAATGTTTGACCTGCCTGGACGCGACTGTGTGGATGATTGCTCATGCTAGCAACCACAGGTTTGCCTGGCCCAGACACAATTATTGACAGAAGGATGTGATGTAGGTGGAATGATGAGGACTGTGTTGTAACACCCTCAGTTTCAGTCACTGTTTGTGACACACTGTTACAGCACAGTATGAACCTACCATGTGGTGGTATGTGGATACTTTGTGAATATGTGACTATCATTAGTCATCATCATAAAGTTTTTTTTAGATTTATTAGCATTATGGCTGCATAAATGTGTGGTTTCTGTAGCACATTTTGCCTGAAAAGTGATGAAGGAGGAACAATATCAACAAATCAATTTACTGAGGGAAGATTGAGCTGCGCTCTTTTATACATCAGTTGTCAAGCATCAGCTGTCAAGCATTGATAACAGTGTCTGCTTCATATTACAAACTGCTGGTGATAAGAATGACTGGCATGTAGGATTTAAAGTGACATGCAGAGGCCTGAGATTTATGTCCCTTTTCAGCCTTGCACACGTACATGGCCTGAATGTGTGTTGTGTGTGGTAGTGGGGTTGTGACAATGTGCCTTGTGTTTCAGATAATGGAGAGGTGGCTTTACGAGGACAAGGTGGTGCGAGTCTTTCAGAAGTGGATGTAGAGGATGACAGAATCTCATTGTTCACTGTTACTGTTTAGCTGAACCTACAGCTTCCTTAGTGTTACAGCTACTTACACTGCAAACTAATGATTGTCCAAATTTGTTGTGTTTATGATAGCTGCTGAAACCAAAGTGGGATCTTCCAACATTAAATAACATGGCCAATTTATCATAAGCCAAACTTGCCGAAATATGTGACAAGTGTATGGGATTTGGTTAAGCTTCTATGAGCCTCTACAAGTATTTACAGATACAGCATTATTTGACACATTATTGGGTACATTCTATTTGACAACTGGGATTACCCGGTACTGTATCGTTCAGAGGAGATTCCATTGCAAGAATTCTAGGGCTGGGACGAGTAACTCGGGTCGGGTGGGTACTGAGTAGGACCCAGGTCGGGTAATAGGGTTCAGGTACCCAGATAGTAAATTTGGACTCGTTCCAGCCCTAAAGAATACATATATCAGTATTCTTTAGGGCTGGAACGAGTCCAAATTTACTATGCATACCCTTGAAACGACCCCTTTGAAATGTAGCATAACATAGACTTGCTAAACATTCATGTGATCCATCTCTGTTGACATTTCCTCTGAAGTCAAAAGGCCCATGAAGCTCACACCTTTCGTGTGTGGTTCCAGTGCTCACATGTTTTTACGACATCAATGGCACCATGTTGAAAATGTAATTATTACTCATAATTCAGTGTATATCGATATATGTTAATTACTAATGTAACATTTTGTTATGAAACATAAGGATGGATTTTGTCATACTTGTTTTACCTATTTATTGCCTACATACTTTCAGAACTTTGAGAACATTTACAATGGTATTGCTTTTCTACGCATGTTCTACAGATAGTGAAGATTTCGATACTCTGTGATTGTGATATTATAGATCTGTTGATCATGTTACTGATGATTCTTACAATTGTTGATCTCAGCACATAGTGGAAGTTTATCAAGGTTAGAGCAAGGCTTTACGCCAGCATAATTAACCGAAGGTTAGATTGCTTTAACATTGATACTCTAGTGTTGTTATTCCTTCTTTGTTATGACATAGTGGCTAATTTTTATCATAGTTCTATTTTTACAAATCATTGTATGTTTTGTTCCTTTTGGAACCTAATTTATGATTTATGATGGAATGAGAATTCTGCAAATATTAATCTTATGCAAACTTTGTCTTCGTTACTTGTCAATAGTTTTGCCTTTATAACATGTGCCTTAGTCATTTGGAAATATTTTGTACAGGATATAGCGAGAAAGTCCTCATTCTTACCCACATTACATCTATTCTATTGCTCATTTGGTGGAGATTCATTCAACAATCCTGGGCCCACTTGCACAAAGCGATCTTAGTCCTAAGATGATTGTAACGCCCATACTTTAACATAGGCTTACGATAGTCTTAGCGCTAAGATGGCTTTGTGCAAGTGGGCCTTGGTGACGAGTTTAATATCAAAGTCAAGGTTCAGGGACCAGTCATTTAAATTCGATGAGGGAGATGTGGCCAAGATGTTTTATCCATGAAGACCCAACAGCGCCACCCCTCAACCACCCCAAATACAAATGATGGTCTGTTTTTATCATGCCCCTCCCGTAGGATAGATAATCGCCAAAGACAGTAATTCCTTCTAATGTGCTACTATAAAATGACTTTCCATCTTTTCAAAGCCCTCCGGATCCTATCATGTTTGTCTATGTCCATGTGACATGTGAGTGTGTATATGTTATACATATTACACAATATTTAACTTAGGTCCAATTCAGCTAACAGATAGAATTCCATGTAAAGGCACTTTTCTGCTTATATCGGCCGGTACCCTTGTGTCCTGTGGTCATTATTCTTAGGGTTTAGTACTTCTTAAATTTATTGAATTAGTTTGAAATAGGGAAGCTGATAGTAGTGTTGAAGCAGGTGATGTTTCGATATTTCAGGCTTGTATGTTGATATCGTGTAGCAAACAGCTCTAGATCATTATCTGTCTTTAGGTCAACACTGGTCATATCAGCATTGTCCTTCTTAGATATTGAGAGGAGAATGAAAGGGTAAACTGAACATTATTACGAGAACTTCAGAAATATTGACCCGAATTCTTCATTTTATTATTTTGCATTAGTATGATTGGAAAGAACTGTTAATACATGCATATTTATACATAATACTGGTCATATTTTCAGAGTATGTCCAAAATTATGAACTATTCAAACAAAACTTCATGGTTACATTTTCCATTGTCTGAAACTTCAACCATTACAGTGATGAACTATGTTATTGAATATGCTTTTAACAACTTGTAACAAAACAGTGAAATTGCTTGACATTGCTCAAATTTCTAATCTGTTAAATATATGTACTTACCGGTTAAACAGAAATAAATAGTTTTTAGATTCCATTTATTCACCTGTATGTATCATGTGTCTCAAGGCATCATCGTCGACAGAACATTGTCCCCACAGTGCAGACTTGCAGAGAGAGACAACAGTCACTTGGGTGTGCAACTCTGTGAACATGTGGATGACAAAGTTGCCATTCCTTGTCCTATAACACGTGAATCAGGTGGACAAAATGGCTGCCTGGAATCGATTTTACTAACACCTGGAAAATATTGGACAAACACAGGAATGTTATATATTTATTTACTTGTATCATCAAAGTACAAAAAGTACAAAAATATATTCAAATACACATTCTTGTGTACAAACCGCACTGAATATATCCACAAACAATATCACACATATCAATTAAACAGTGAAAGTTATAACAATCACCTCTGTTCAGTAAACATCTTCCTGAGGCAAGAGTGTCTACTGTACTAGACTTTGATACACCAGGGGACACGCTTGCCTCAGGAAGATGTTCCATGAGGTGATAAGGTAATGTCATGTCAGGAAACCTCCAAGATTATAAAATACTCATGGGTAAAAGATTAGGGAACACATAGCAGCACACCAGAGGAACATTTACCAATGCATTCCATAAATATTCTTCACATCGGTAAATAAGTACAGCGTAAAACAGGAATGTCTGTGTCCCTTCATTTTAAAACATTTTTGGTCATTTTCAGGAGGAAATCCAATATTTGCAACTTGTGTTAATGGACATGAAGTGAAATGCCAAACTAAGGCCACAACACATTACTTATTTGTTCGCTGGAAACAATATGCAAGGTTTTTTAGAAGAAGCATTTTGGTCTGTTTGAATAACTGCATTAAGCAAAAATTCAAAATTACCTTTGGAGAAGGACTAAAAAGTATATGCATTGTTGACTAGTCAACACAACATGTGTTGCTATTCAAAGAGGTAAATATCTTTTCCTCCTTGAAAAAAAGTCACTGCCAGATATAAATATCAAATAAATAGTCGCCTTTGATGCATCTTGCCGAGGCTTTGGACTTTGTTACATGATTTTGATTAGACAATACATAGACTCGTTAGTCCAGCTTAAAAATAACTCCATAATGCAAGCCTAGTTCGGCAAGGGAGGAAACTGGACTTTTACAGTCAGTTAACGCCCTTGCCTAGGGAAGATGCTGTTGATGTGGCCTAGTTGATAAGATTGGCACTCCTATACATACTGAGCAAATGTCAATCATTATTAGGGGCTAACATTAGGGTTCCAAATTAACATACATGTATGTCCACTATTTTCAAGGCAAGTAAATTTCTGCAAGGATAAGTGACATTTCCTTGTGGACTACCACTTTTACCATTAGATAGATGGTATCTCTGAAGATCAGTTTTGCAGACTAGTGAAATAAGAAATTAATTTCTATCCCCGTGACATAAAATGGTCATTATCAACCTTTGATTTTAAAGGAATGTTTTACATGTCATCATAAAATGTGATTGAGAAAAATCAAATAATCCAAGTCCTTCCATGTGTATATTCTTCCCAAACAAGAAGTGGATAAAACACTTCAGTGCAATGTTTAGCCATCATACAGAGACTCCTTTGTCTTGAAGACATGACTGTGTATACCAGAATGTAACTATGGCTATTCATGTGCACAATCACCATGTTCATGTACAGACAAACTGTACAAGTACAGGCTCAAGGGGATGTCTGGGATGGAGCCGGTGGAGGGCTGTCTGGTGCAGATGGACCAGCAATCAAGGGACTCCCACTTACCTGCGCAGTCCTCCATGAAGATTCCGGGGTAGAATAGGTCTTCAGCAACCCATGCTTGCTGTAAAATGTGACTATGCTTGTCGTAAAAGGCGACTAACGGGATCGGGTGGTCAGGCTCAGACTTGGTTGATGCATGTCATCGATCCCAATCGCGTGGATCGATGCTCATGATATCAATTACTGGATTGTCTGGTCCAGACTCGATTATTTACAGACCGCCGTCATATAGCTGGAATATTGCTGAGTGCGGCGTTAAACAACAAACCAACCAACCAACCTGCGCAGTACAGAGACTGGATCCTGCTGACCCCGACAGATTCTAAGTCACTTGTCAATTCAAGGAAAGTGCAAGATGACTGTTGACCCTCCCCGACTCTGTCCTATCCTGTTCATCTCAAAGATGAAATCAAGGCAGAACTGGAAGATGTGACTATTACAGAAGTGTCCGTGTCTACAGACTGGCCTTGCCTACAGCTGCAAGTCTAGTGGAAAAATGAGAGTATGTCTGGAGCCTAAAGATTTAAACAGAGCAATCAAGAGGCCCCATTATAAGACCTGAACACTGAGTGAGCTCACTCATGACTTCTTAGGTGCAACAATATTCTCAATACTTGATGTCCGCCATGGATTTTTGTCCTTAATTCTTAACAAAGAGTCAAGCATTCTAATGACCTCTAACAGCCGCCTTGGTCGATATAGGTTTCTTAGGCTCCCATTCGGACTTAACCTTAGCCAAAATGTATTCCAACAAAACATGGACCAAATCCTTGAACAGTGCCCAGGCACCACGGGCATTGCTAACAATATTGCAGTATTCACATAGAGGAAGAACACAACAGCAACCTGAGAAACACGATGAATGTTGAAAGAGAGAATGGTCTTAAATTAAGCTCTGGAAAGTGTGAGATCTAGACAAACAAAAGAAAATTCTTTGGACTAGTCTTCAACACCAAAGGTGTAATCTCAAACCCAGACCTAGACAAGGTCAAGGCTATCAAAGAAATAGGGCCCCCTTTTGACGCTAAGTAGCTACAAGATTTCTTTAGAAATAGCAACAAATATGGGAACTTTCATCATCCACCTGTCTCAGCACACAGCACCACATAGGGAACATGTAAATAAAGTGACAAAACCCTTCCCATAATCATAGGAAATTTCTGCTAAAATCAGAATTCACTGTACAATTCCGTCATGAGCATGTGTTGATGAACCACTATCAAATAGTGATGACACCAGGTGTTTGTGAAAAGAAGGACACTGAGTTTGCATGGTCTGTGTCCCATCAGAAAGTATTTAAAGAGAAATAATGGACCTAATCTGTGGCAAAGTAACCCTGAACTACTTCAACCCAAGACTAAACTCCTCCACAGGCCTCAGAGCAGTTCTACTAATAAATGACAAGCCTTTAGCTATTGCCTCGAAGTCTCTGAGCGACATGGAACAGAGATACACAAACATAGACAGAAATGTTGGCAGTTGTCTTCAAGTGCGAAAGATTCCATATTCCAGTGTTTGGCAAGATTCCAGTACATGGCAAGCACTTCATTGCAGAATCTGACCACAAGCCACTGGAGATGATTCACGAGAAGAGCCTGTCAGCAGCCCCTCAGAAATTGCAGCGCATGCTTTTAAGAATACAACCATACGTATTGAAGATTAGGCATAGACCTGGCAATCAAATGTTGTTAGCCGACGCCCTCCCAAGACAACAAGTAAACCAGCAAAACTATAGATTTGGATGTTCATAGCGACATAATAAGTTTTCAACAAAGTAGAGAGGCTGAAAGAAGAGAACAGCAAAGTTTCAGAGCTCGAAGTTCTTGTACTTGCATCTTTAGCTTGCAAATATGAACCTACAGTTGGTCTCCAGTTCTCTGTGCATGGATTGCGTTATACCTCCCATACTGAATCATGAGATACCTAGAAGCATAACAGCTTACTGTTCAGTGTCAAGTTATCCCCACTCCCACACACAATGTGAGTGAGTGAGTGAGTTAATATTTAACGTCACATCAGCAGTATTTCAGCCATATCGTGACGAGCACACACAATGTAGCTGTGAGGAACATTATACCCATCAAACAGAAACAGCATTCCCAAGGGCACTTCTTATCCATGTATCTCAATACTAATGTTTCCAATTGCCCTCTTCTACTTTGAACTGACAGGCATCACTGCAGTAAAGTCAGAATGGTAAACCCTTGACAAAACACCCTTGCAGGAATGAAATATATTCATCTCTTAAATTAACCCACACAAATTAACGATCAGTTAGCAAGAGGAATGGTTACACACGAATTGCAATACAAACTTGGTCCACACAATCACACATAAATATTCACCCAAATGCTGAAAACTTGACTCCGTGACTTCTTTGATAGGCATTTAGAAGTTGGAGTACTAAGTAAGGATAAGAATTTATTTAAGCTCTTAATTGTAATAAAGAAGTTGTTCATCCATAAATTCTTATCCTTACTTGACTCCGTGAGCACAACAAACAAATTATTTCATTTCAAACAGTGGAGTGAGTCAGTAGACCCATGGATCAGTTCATTTTATAAGTGGGGTGTGTAGGTAGACCCATTGATCAGTCCATTCAAACAGAGGATTCGCAAGGAGGTGAAATAAAAACAGTAAAAGCTGTCCACGTGAGTAGCATATTGTCTCACAAGCCACAGCAATGGCAGGTAAGGTCCACCTATACGTCACATGCAATGTATTTTGTTCAGTAGCTGGGAAATGGGGAGCCTGTCACTTCCTTCAGTAGTATTCAACAATGTTCCAGCCACTCAGTTTGAACATTAGATAGAAAGGTGTAAACTAATTCAGCTGTTCTCCATCACGATGAAGCCTTTAGTTTCCTCATCTCTTCTTCCTTCCCGGCATAGTTTCTGAACACAGACAGAGAAGCGGGTTAGTGAACATAAACAGTAAACTAGAGCATACAGTAAACTACACCAGACAGTCAACTACACCATACAGTAAACTAGAGCATACAGTAAACTACACCAGACAGTCAACTACACCAGACAGTAAACTACACCATACAGTAAACTACACCACACAGTAAACTACACCATACAGTAAACTACACAAGACAGTCAACTACACCACACAGTAAACTACACCACACAGTAAACTACACCATACAGTAAACTACACCATACAGTAAACTAGAGCATACAGTAAACTACACCACACAGTAAACTACACCACACAGTAAACTACACCATACAGTAAACTACACCATACAGTAAACTAGAGCATACAGTAAACTACACCACACAGTAAACTACACCACACAGTAAACTACACCAGACAGTAAACTACACCATACAGTAAACTAGAGCATACAGTAAACTACACCACACAGTAAACTACACCACACAGTAAACTACACCCCACAGTAAACTACACCAGACAGTAAACTACACCATACAGTAAACTACACCATACAGTAAACTACACCATACAGTAAACTACACCACACAGTAAATTACACCATACAGTAAACTACACCATACAGTAAACTACACCACACAGTAAACTACATCACACAGTAAACTACACCATACAGTAAACTACATCACACAGTAAACTACACCATACAGTAAACTACACCACACAGTAAACTACACCATACAGTAAACTACACCACACAGTAAACTACACCACACAGTAAATTACACAATACAGTAAACTACACCATACAGTAAACTACACCACACAGTAAACTACACCATACAGTAAACTACACCATACAGTAAACTACACCACACAGTAAACTACACCACACAGTAAACTACATCACACAGTAAACTACACCACACAGTAAACTACATCACACAGTAAACTACACCATACAGTAAACTACATCACACAGTAAACTACACCAAACAGTAAACTACACCACACAGTAAACTACACCATACAGTAAACTACACCACACAGTAAACTACACCACACAGTAAATTACACAATACAGTAAACTACACCATACAGTAAACTACACCATACAGTAAACTACACCACACAGTAAACTACACCATACAGTAAACTACACCACACAGTAAACTACACCACACAGTAAACTACACCATACAGTAAACTACACCACACAGTAAACTACACCACACAGTAAACTACACCATACAGTAAACTACACCACACAGTAAACTACATCAATCAGTAAACTACACCATACAGTAAACTACACCATACAGTAAACTACACCATACAGTAAATTACACCACACAGTAAACTACACCCCACAGTAAACTACACCCCACAGTAAACTACACCATACAGTAAACTACACCATACAGTAAACTACACCATACAGTAAACTACACCACACAGTAAACTACACCACACAGTAAACTACATCAATCAGTAAACTACATCACACAGTAAACTACACCACACAGTAAACTACACCACACAGTAAACTACACCACACAGTAAACTACACCATACAGTAAACTACACCATACAGTAAACTACACCACACAGTAAACTACACCACACAGTAAACTACATCAATCAGTAAACTACACCATACAGTAAACTACACCACACAGTAAACTACACCACACAGTAAACTACACCACACAGTAAACTACACCACACAGTAAACTACACCATACAGTAAACTACATCAATCAGTAAACTACACCACACAGTAAACTACACCACACAGTAAACTACACCATACAGTAAACTACACAGTAAACTACACCATACAGTAAACTACACCATACAGTAAACTACACCACACAGTAAACTACACCACACAGTAAACTACACCACACAGTAAACTACACCCCACAGTAAACTACACCCCACAGTAAACTACACCATACAGTAAACTACACCATACAGTAAACTACACCATACAGTAAACTACACCACACAGTAAACTACACCACACAGTAAACTACATCAATCAGTAAACTACATCACACAGTAAACTACACCACACAGTAAACTACACCACACAGTAAACTACACCACACAGTAAACTACACCATACAGTAAACTACACCATACAGTAAACTACACCACACAGTAAACTACACCACACAGTAAACTACATCAATCAGTAAACTACACCATACAGTAAACTACACCACACAGTAAACTACACCACACAGTAAACTACACCACACAGTAAACTACACCACACAGTAAACTACACCATACAGTAAACTACATCAATCAGTAAACTACACCACACAGTAAACTACACCACACAGTAAACTACACCATACAGTAAACTACACAGTAAACTACACCACACAGTAAACTACACCATACAGTAAGCTACACCACACAGTAAACTAGTAAACTACACCATACAGTAAGCTACACCACACAGTAAACTAGTAAACTACACCAGACAGTAAACTACACGACAGTAAACTACACCATACAGTAAACTACACAGTAAACTACACCATACAGTAAACTACACCACACAGTAAACTACACCAGACAGTAAACTACACCATACAGTAAACTACACCACACAGTAAACTACACCACACAGTAAACTACACAGTAAACTACATCACACAGTAAACTACACCATACAGTAAATTACACCATACAGTAAACTACACCATACAGTAAACTACACAGTAAACTACATCACACAGTAAACTACACCACACAGTAAACTACACCATACAGTAAACTACACCATACAGTAAACTACACCATACAGTAAACTACACCATACAGTAAACTACACCACACAGTAAACTACACCATACAGTAAACTACACCACACAGTAAACTACACCAGACAGTATACTACACCATACAGTAAACTACACCACACAGTAAACTACATCACACAGTAAACTACACCATACAGTAAACTACACCACACAGTAAACTACACCACACAGTAAACTACACCATACAGTAAACTACATCAATCAGTAAACTACATCACACAGTAAACTACACCATACAGTAAACTACATCAATCAGTAAACTACACAGTAAACTACACCATACAGTAAACTACACAGTAAACTACACCACACAGTAAACTACACCATACAGTAAACTACACCATACAGTAAACTACATCACACAGTAAACTACACCATACAGTAAACTACACCACACAGTAAACTACACCACACAGTAAACTACATCAATCAGTAAACTACACCATACAGTAAACTACACCACACAGTAAACTACACCACACAGTAAACTACACCACACAGTAAACTACACCACACAGTAAACTACACAGTAAACTACACCATACAGTAAACTACATCACACAGTAAACTACACCACACAGTAAACTACACCAGACAGTAAACTACACAGTAAACTACACCATACAGTAAACTACACAGTAAACTACACCATACAGTAAACTACACCATACAGTAAACTACACCATACAGTAAACTACATCACACAGTAAACTACATCACACAGTAAACTACACAGTAAACTACACCATACAGTAAACTACACCATACAGTAAACTACACCATACAGTAAACTACACCATACAGTAAACTACACCATACAGTAAACTACACCACACAGTAAACTACACAGTAAACTACACCATACAGTAAACTACACAGTAAACTACACCATACAGTAAACTACACAGTAAACTACACCATACAGTAAACTACACCATACAGTAAACTACACCACACAGTAAACTACACCATACAGTAAACTACACCATACAGTAAACTACACCACACAGTAAACTACACCATACAGTAAACTACACCACACAGTAAACTACACAGTAAACTACACCATACAGTAAACTACACAGTAAACTACACCATACAGTAAACTACACAGTAAACTACACCACACAGTAAACTACACAGTAAACTACACCATACAGTAAACTACACAGTAAACTACACCATACAGTAAACTAAACCATACAGTAAACTACACCATACAGTAAACTACACCATACAGTAAACTACACCACACAGTAAACTACACCACACAGTCAACTACACAGTAAACTACACCCCACAGTAAACTACACCATACAGTAAACTACACCATACAGTAAACTACACCATACAGTAAACTACACAGTAAACTACACCATACAGTAAACTACACCATACAGTAAACTACACCATACAGTAAACTACACCATACAGTAAACTACACCACACAGTAAACTACACCATACAGTAAACTACACCACACAGTAAACTACACCAGACAGTATACTACACCATACAGTAAACTACACCACACAGTAAACTACATCACACAGTAAACTACACCATACAGTAAACTACACCACACAGTAAACTACACCATACAGTAAACTACACCACACAGTAAACTACACCATACAGTAAACTACACCATACAGTAAACTACACCATACAGTAAACTACACAGTAAACTACACCATACAGTAAACTACACCATACAGTAAACTACACCATACAGTAAACTACACCACACAGTAAACTACACCATACAGTAAACTACACCACACAGTAAACTACACCAGACAGTATACTACACCATACAGTAAACTACACCACACAGTAAACTACATCACACAGTAAACTACACCATACAGTAAACTACACCACACAGTAAACTACACCACACAGTAAACTACACCATACAGTAAACTACATCAATCAGTAAACTACATCACACAGTAAACTACACCATACAGTAAACTACACCATACAGTAAACTACACCACACAGTAAACTACACCATACAGTAAACTACACCATACAGTAAACTACACCACACAGTAAACTACACCACACAGTAAACTACACCAGACAGTAAACTACATCACACAGTAAACTACACCAGACAGTAAACTACACCACACAGTAAACTACACCACACAGTAAACTACACCATACAGTAAACTACACCATACAGTAAACTACACCAGACAGTAAACTACACCACACAGTAAACTACACCACACAGTAAACTACACCATACAGTAAACTACACCACACAGTAAACTACACCACACAGTAAACTACACCATACAGTAAACTACACCATACAGTAAACTACACCACACAGTAAACTACACCACACAGTAAACTACACCATACAGTAAACTACTAAACACAGTAAACTACACCCCACAGTAAACTACACCATACAGTAAACTACACCACACAGTAAACTACACCACACAGTAAACTACACCATACAGTAAACTACACCACACAGTAAACTACACCCCACAGTAAACTACACCACACAGTAAACTACACCACACAGTAAACTACACCATACAGTAAACTACACCATACAGTAAACTACACCACACAGTAAACTACACCATACAGTAAACTACACCACACAGTAAACTACACCACACAGTAAACTACACCATACAGTAAACTACACCACACAGTAAACTACACCATACAGTAAACTACACCACACAGTAAACTACACCATACAGTAAACTACACCACACAGTAAACTACACCACACAGTAAACTACACCATACAGTAAACTACACCATACAGTAAACTACACCAACAGTAAACTACACCATACAGTAAACTACACCACACAGTAAACTACACCACACAGTAAACTACACCATACAGTAAACTACACCCCACAGTAAACTACACCACACAGTAAACTACACCACACAGTAAACTACACCATACAGTAAACTACACCACACAGTAAACTACACCATACAGTAAACTACACCACACAGTAAACTACACCACACAGTAAACTACACCAGACAGTAAACTACATCAAACAGTAAACTACACCACACAGTAAACTACACCACACAGTAAATTGCACCACACAGTAAACTACACCACACAGTAAATTGCACCACATGAAAGTGCAAAATACAAAAATTACACCATCCTGTAAATTACATTAAACAGTGAAGTGCACCTCTGAGTAAAGTACAGGACACTGTAAAGCCCTGTAACCAGTAATGTACAGAGTACTAGAGACCTGTGCTGTTGTCCAGTCTAAACAAGTTCATAACATCCCCACTGGACTGTATGTGCAGTGAGCAAGTGCTTCTACTTTCTTGATTCATGCCAGGTCTTGTCTTACATATGTCCCAGGGCAAGTGACAAATTACAAAAAAACACCTACAAAGAAGGAGCATATTTTCAACAACACATTTCGTTCAATAAGTTGGAATATTGCAAATTATGAGTCAGTAATAGCACCCCGCCTATGTCCCCACAACCTGCTGGCGTCATCAGTCTTGATCATGTGATCAGACAAACCAATCGGTTAGTGTAACAACTATTCCTCGCCCTAGGTTAACACACAACTAAAACCAGGGCCCACTTGCACAAAGCGATCTTAGCACTAAGATGAGCGTAACTCCCATATGTTAAGATAGGCTTACAATAACCTTAGCACTAAGATCGCTTTGCAAGTGGGCCCAGCTGATCTCAGCAGAGATATGTGGTTATGGTTATAGGAGTGAGGTGGGGTGGGGGGGAAAGCCACTTTAATCTGCAGAAGCTGCTAGATGTACCACTAGTCACAACCACTGTACCTGTAGTCCCACTCACTGATGCCCCAGCCCTCCACACCATTCAGTCGGAAGTTACACAGACGCTCGAAGATTTTAGCATCCCACTCCTCCCCCATGTAGAACACTGGACACTGAACCACATCGATGGACAGCTCGTACTTCGTCCCACCTGCAATGGTAAGGAAGATTGATTGGTATGGCAACCGAATTTCAGCAACAGATATTTTGTACTTATACATATACCGTATTTGCCATATTAATCACCCAGGGTACTTAGAAAATTGACATGTTTGTTTGTTTGTTGTATAATGCTGTACACAGCAATATTCCAGTTATATGACAGTGGCCTGTAGACATGGTAAATAACCAACCAGACATACCAATCATTGATATTATACCCAACTTGCCAAGGGATGGAGGTGTGATGACATGCAATCAACCGAAGTCACCAAGCCTGACCACCCAAGCCATAATGCATGGAAAGGCTTCAAATTAGAAAAACTTCAATATTTGCTTCACAGGGATTTTTTCAATGTCAACGTCAGCACAAGCACTCGTTATAGTCTGTTGTTCTTTGCTCACTGACTGCAGTAACTATATTAGAAGTTACAGTCATAGATCTAGGTCTACAGAAATAAAAATTAGTGGAGTTTTTTTTAGACATCTTGACAAATAGTGACCATCTGCTCAGTGTCTCAAAACAGTCAACACGAACAACCACTTCCGTTTAAACCGCAAGACCTACGCAATATTTGTGATGTTCCAGCAAAAAGCAAGTACATTCAAATGTATTTCGTGCTATCTGGAACATCTCATCAAACGTCTGTAAGATATATTAAGATATAGTCAACAGAAACCACTGAATAATGCTGACTGAGTTTACAACAGGCAGTTGTTTAGCGATAGTGGAACATGCAACTAATGGGGAAAACTATTTTCACTTCACAGTTTAATTTTGTCAAGACATGAAATAAAAATCCACAAAAGTACTTGTAATGAAAATGGCCATGCCCACGAGGCACTGTACATAAACTTCAAATGTGCCATTTCCTATTTCAGGTCTGCTACAAGCACAGCAGCACCAGTAATTTTGATGGGGACCAACTCAGACCCTGTATCCCCATAGTGGATTATATATGCATATCTTGTCAATAAACAAGCAACAGGTTTATGATAAATGCTACATACGGTATGTATTTGTATCAATGAGAATACATTGGATCATCCTCACAATGCCTTTTGGTCTACTATAACACATACATACTACTCAAAAGAAGTTGAACACCCAATTTTCTTCACATGACTATCAGGTGTTCTTTAAGTACTTGAGGGCACAGGTGGCCCAGTCATCTAAGGCGCCGCGATTCGCTGTGCAGAGTTGCATCCCTTGGACAAGCCAGAAACCTATGATTGTGGGTTCGAATCCCGGTTCGCCCCGATTATGTTTCTAGGTTTGCCAGCACAATTTACTCGTGGGTTTCACCGAAGTGGTAAACGTCTGAGACCTGCACCACTTCGGGCTTTCCTCCCACATTAAGCTGACACGCCGCGATATAACTGGAATACTGTTAAAAGCGGAGTTAAACCCAACTCACTCACTCACTCTTTGAGTGCTGTAGTAGTGATATACCTGACTGGATGAGAATGGTTGATCTACCCTGTCATGTGCTATGTACTGCATTTTCGTGAGATTATTTTCCCAAAATACAGCTGTGAAGAGGGCTGTGCACACTAATCAAATATCATTGGCAACAATAGATGTAAATTAAAAGCAACTAATGCAAATAAAAAGTGCATGTTCATGTGAAAAGGTGCAGTATTATGTCAGTGTTCTTCAGAGTCTGCCACCATTGACACCCACAAGAATGTAAAGTGTCACAGCTTGATAGAGATACCTGCTGTGAACCCCAGAGTCATCTGTTTCGGGGGATTCTGATCTTCTCCATGGTTGAAGAATTCAAAGTCTGTGTGAGACACAGGGACTAGAGTGCCGTCCTTCAGAAACATGTAGCCGACGGACAATCTGTAACAAAGACTTCATTTTAGACCCTGTCTCACAAAGCAGTTGCACCGTATAGTGTTGGTTCTCTGGGCAGGTGGCCATGGCTTGGTCTCAATACAGAAGACACTAGCTTTCAAATAATTATAGACATCAAGGAAAAGACAATAAATATGATATAGACACTTACACCTTCACATGTGTGAATCACTCAGTCTTTACAAAACTAAACCATGCTGGCCTCCTTACAAATGGAATCAGGAAGACACAGCTTGCACCATCACAACCTGTCTCCACACATATTCCTGAGGCAAGGGCGTTAACTGAGTAGAAAAGACTAGTTCTCATCCTTGCTAAACTAGGCTGGTATTTCGGAGTTACATTTTAGCTGGACTAATTTATCTATGCATAGTCTAATCAAAATCACATAACAAACTATATGGATTTCAACTTGCAGATTTAGGTCGACTGCAGGATTTGCAAAGCGTGAGTACTGTCAATTGGGCGTCGACAGATATTTTGCAAATCTTTTCATGTTTTTAATCAAGGTGTTCAAGTAATTTGATGCACTTCGCACCGTCAGCACGTTTTATTACAATATAGATCTTGATTATCGATCACATCGTTTTGACTGGGCACTGCCATTTTGTTTGAAGCAAATGTAAGTGATATGAGTGATGGAAGCTGATTGCTCAATAGGAGGGACACAGAATGGACCTAACTCGTAACAGCCAATGGGGGCGCTACGATCGAGTCTGGAAATTCCAACCTAGTTCGGCAAGGGTGGGAACTGGACACTTGTAGTTGTCAGTTAACGCCCTTGCCTCGGGAAGTGGTCTCCACATGACTGACTCCCACCTTGTCAATAACCAGCTGGTAATCAGTGTATGTAGACTTTGTATGCTCATCAAGTTGTCACCATGACATCCCCGACCAGGAGTTTGACAGGAGGCATTTTGGCATGTAAAGCATTGATCACCAAATGGAGCAAAAAAACAGTACTGACAATTCCTTTTGAGAAATCATTGATAGTCACTCCCACACATATATAGACTCACACACACTCACTCATAGGTGCTGTGAGAGGACATACCTGGACATACACATAGGCATGGAGATGGCGCCGACACAGAGGCAGGTGCCGTCACTGAAGTAGCCGTACTGCAGGCCATACCGATGGAAGTACTTCCAGTCTCGGATATTGCCTGAAAGGAAAATAGGTACTGAATACAATACGTAGCAGCTCTCCTTAATGGGATGACTTAACAATAAGCAAGACAAGAGACAAAGTGCTTTGTCGTAAATCAAGGTGTCTTTCAGGAACTGTCACTTCAGAAACATTATACCTTCAACAATAGTCACATCAGAAACATTATACCTTCAACAATAGTCACATCAGAAACATTATACCTTCAACAATAGTCACATCAGAAACCTAATACCTCCAACGATAGTCACATCAGAAACATTATACCTTCAACAATAGTCACATCAGAAACATAATACCCTCAACAATAGTCACATCAGAAACATTCTACCTTCAACAATGTTTCCTTATAGGACGTGTAGTGCTCCAAGTCAACTCCATAATCAACAAATCTACCCCAAATGTCCAGAGGGACCTGGTCTGTATTACATACAACATGCACATGTATACTTATATACTCCCCGCCAAAAGAAACACGAACACCTTACAGGTTGGTTAATATATGACGACTTACTCATATTCAAGATATAGTTGATTGGTTCAATGCACAAACAAACATACTGGTATGTTGTGTGAACTGATGCTCATGAACACTGTACATGTGACGACATAGATGCATGACTCAAGATGCACCAGTTGTCTCGTGCAGGGTTAGCGTGTAGAGCTTGGAAATCACGTGTAGCATATCGTGATAAGAATAAAGACACTGTGGTAACACTTGACTGATTGTTAGTTTTGTCATTAAGCGGTACACATTGGAAACATCTCTTCTTAATATACATACTTCTCAATATGTTTCTATGGTTCGAGTTTCTTTTGGCAGTGAGTATATCTTACCAATATTCATTCTGAGTGGGATAAGGATGGCCTAGTCATCTATTGTGCTGCAATTTGATGTGCAGAGCTGCATCTTTTAGGCATGCAGGAAATCTATGATTGTGAGATTCAATCTGAGATTGGACATGATAATGCTTCTAGGTTTGTCAGCACCATACCCATGCTCTGGTTGGAACAAAAATGTTACATGTCTGAGACCTGCATCACTTCAGTCTTGCCTCCAAACTGACAGGGCTTGATGTAACTGAAATGCTGTTCAAACCGGCTTCTAACACTCTCGTATTCTCAGAAAGACATTTCCTCCATGAATCTCACCATACGAGTGATCCCGGACTCCCCTGACCCGGAGTGGCTTCGGCTGCATTCCCTCGATACACACATCACCCACCAGCTCCCCGAACTGCTCATAGTGGGTCTGATGCACTCTGTAACAGTGACTTGTTTGATAGGCATTACTTAGAAGTTGGCGGATGACAAGATAGACACAATTTTATGGATAACACCTCCTTTAATACTGTAAAAAGCGACGTTTCGGTATAGATCCTTATACCGTTGTCAAGCAAATCAAACCAAATCCTTGCCAACAACCTCCATGATTTCACCAAAAGAAAACTAACAGAAGCAGTCCACATTCGCCGCCACAACCCATCAATCAACAGAGATCAAGGCTATTTCATCCCATCCGCCTACTATGAACTCATCAAACAATAATCACCTGTTATTGGCTTCATGCCCCATTGGCTTCTAGCTATGTGGTTTCTGTCCATCGTGTTGTGATAGCATCATCCTTGTTGTCACACCTACCTATGTTATCCCACTCATGTATGCCCTTGTTGTTACTGTTAATCCTCTACTGTTAATCCTCTGCTGTTAATCCTCCACTTGCTATATATATTCTGCACTATGTCCCTCATTCAGTCTTGCTTGACAACGGTATAAGGATCTATACCGAAACGTCGCTTTTTACAGTATTAAAGAAGTTGTTATCCATAAAATTGTGTCTATCTTCTCTGTAACAGTGTACTAATCAAATTGTTCAAATCAATCTGATGTCCAACATGAATGAAAACAAGCATTGATAATTTGTTTTCATTATGACACTTGCAATGATGACATGACAACATCAACAACAAAATAATGATAATAATCATCACGATAATTAGGAGCATATACATGTATAATGAGGCACAGTCATCATTAGTGCATGCTCAGATCACCATAACTTTCTGAGTCAATGGATTGCCCATCAGTGTACATCTTTTTAAATCTCAGCACCCTGGGGAGTATACAACATAAACTGCCTCTTTGACACTGGATGGTTCTGCTTTCACATTTCCATCTAATCTATGAGACATTGGATGACCTGTTTCGGCATCACAAGGGAATGAGTGAGAGAATGATATATGATCCTGTACATACAGCTATATTTCACAGTGTTTGGGATTGGTCATATATCATCATTATAGAGGCCTCCAATAACAAAGTCTGGCCACAGTGGTTAACCATGTCACACATTGTACCCTGATCCTCAAACATCTGGATTTAATGACAGGCATGATGAGACTGGGGTACCGGGGGGGGGGGGGGGGGGGGTGCTATTCTGCTGCATCATAAAGTGTCACAGTTTTATACACAGTTTGCTCTGTACATGCAAGCCTACTGGTTATAAAACTATGTTTGTGTGTTATGAAAATACTTCCTTAAGCAGGCTGCTGACTGCGTTGAGTACAAACAAATACTACAGATGTATGTCATGTTTGCCAAATGATTGAACCGACATACGTTTTCAGATTTTCGAAGTATCCCCTTGACCATTTCTCCCTGGCTATGGCGTCTGCTGTTGGTGCAGGGTGAAGGTCAGTGTCAAAATCAAAGAAGTTTGTAATGGCTGTCCATTTCAGATCAAAGCTGACAGCCTTTTCTTCCCCTGTCTCAGAAAGTCTGCAATTCAAAGAAAATCCTTAAAGTCATGTCAATAATATTTTCTTCTTGAAGATAATCTGCATCACAATCCTTAGGACTTGCATTGCTGAGAGGTTAAAGTAAGAGGATCACAGAGGGAGCAAGTTGTCTCCCTTTATCCAAATCACTTTCAAAATCAAATAGGTGTGCCCCTAAGTTCTGATGACAGACGAGGAGTCAGTTAACATTTTGTCAGAGGCTTGGTAACCATGGAGATATTCTGAAAGGCTGGTACCTTTAAGTTGCCAGTCTGCGATATGTGATACAATGAACAAGATGAAATAAAACTGCAAACTTATAACTTGCCCATATTTGCTGAATGTCAACCCTGGGAGGATTCAGGGTCAGAATAGGTAACCAGTAAACATGGTAACTATATTTACCCCTCACCTGAGTTTCCCCTGGAAGGCAACTCTCCATGTCTTCATGGGTTCCAGAACCTCCATGGTGAGACCCCCAGCCGAGTAGCTGTCCCCCGGACCGGTCAGGTTGGTGTCAGGCATAGACGGCATCATCAACAGACCCACTCCAGGCACCTGCAGGCATAGATGGCATCATCAACAGACCCACTCCAGGCACCTGCAGGCATAGATGGCATCGTCAACAGACCCACTCCAGGCACCTGCAGGCATAGATGGCATCGTCAAAACACCCACTCCAGGCACCTGTAGGCATAGACGGCATTGTCAACAGACCCACTCCAGGCACCTGTAGGCATAGTCGGCATCATCAACAGACCCACTCCAGGCACCTGCAGGCATAGATGGCATCATCAACAGACCCACTCCAGGCACCTGCAGGCATATATGGCATCGTCAAAAGACCAACTCCAGGCACCTGTAGGCATAGACAGCATTGTCAACAGACCCACTACAGGCACCTGCAGGCATAGACGGCATCGTCAACAGACCCACTCCAGGCACCTGTAGGCACAGACGGCATCATCAACAGACCCACTCCAGGCACCTACAGGTACAGATGGCATCAACAGACCCACCACAGGCACCTGCAGGCAAAGATGGCATCATCAACAGGCAAAGATGGCATCATCAACAGGCAAAGATGGCATCATCAACAGACCCACCACAGGCACCTGCAGGTGTGTGTGTGGGTGGGAGCTTGTACAAGTCAGGACAAATGCCATGCTAGCCCACTGACATACCATGTCTCAGTTTAACATGGATACCCCACTCAGCCAACCGGTCCTTGCTTGATCCCCTTAATGTAAAGAGCTAAGCATGGTAACAAGTATCATCTTTCAACGTCTTTGGGTATGATAGACCCACTGAATCTAACCACCGACCTTCTGCTCTCCAAGCAGATGCTCTTTCCACTATACCACGGTGAAATTTCTGAGTGCAGTATTAAAAACAAACTAAACAAAACATATGTACTACCACACTGAACAACAGTGTTGCACATCTATACTTTATGATGCATATATGACATGTTATTCCCTTAAAGGCTGTGCAAGTCTCTACTGTGTCCCACATATTGCAATATTGTTGCAAGTGTGAAAGTAGCTTCTGGTAACAAATATGCTTACCCGAAGTAAAACTATAGTCTGAACAAGATTCTTGTGCCGCCTTGCTGTCGCTGTGACTACAAAATAGCCTTCCTTGTTTCCACCATTGAAATAGACAGCATCTACAGCCTGTAAATAAACATGTCTATCAACACCATGTGATCATGGCCACCAGCAATCAAATCTACAGGACAGACAAGTAAGTGTAAATAACATGTAACAGTGTTACACTTAAAGCATGTTGTAAAATCATGTCAGATATTTTGCATGATACAAATACACATTATAGTTCTAAATCCTATATATACATGACCTAAGAAATGGTAGAGAGTCTAGAAAGTAATATTGTGAAATAATATTAACCAGTGAAGATCCGGGTTAGAATAGGTCTTCAGCAATCTATGCTTGTGTTAAGAGGCGACCAACAGGATCAGGTGGTCAGACTTGATGACTTGCTTGATACATGTCATCGTATCCCAATTGCATAAATAGATCCTTGTGATGTCAATCACTGAATTGTCTGGTCCAGACTTGATTATTTACAGACCACTGTCACATAGCTGGTTATTATTGCTGAGTTTGATGTTAAACAACAAACAGAAATAACATTACCATCTGAAATGGAATTAGACAAGGGATGGACTGACTTTAAGCCTTAGGTTTGATTATCATATATTATCTTCCAACACTTTGTTATTCATTGGTGTATCTTATCAACCTATCTATCATTGTTTTCTTGCAATCACAAAAAGTTACAATGTACATTTATCAAATTCCCCAGAAGGTAGAATGTATCCCAGCACCCTATCACTAGTTGCAGGAGGTGCCTAAAGTTGAAACCCATATATACTGGTCACTGACTAGTTATCGCCAATTTTTTCGTATTATTTCTGACATATTCCGTGTGCAAAGTTGACTGTACGAATAACTTTCTTTTTTGTGAAACTATGAGCAAATGTGCTTATTTCTGTCAATGGAATAAGATTCAGTTGATTTCGGTTATAACGCTACGACCAGGAATCAAAACAGTGGAATAGAACTTTCCTGTCGACTTACTGTACCAGTTATTGCCATCATTTTAACAGCACATGCCACGTGATCACGCACACGGCTTCAGTTATACAAATTACATATTTTAGTATCTCGGGTATCGCCCTCAATTTTTTCATTCATCAAAAGGAATAAGAAATGCTGGTATCAATTTGTCGTCTGCAAACTGACAAAAAACAATATTCCCCCAATTCGATCCACACATGTTTATCCCTTCACTATGTTCTATGAATTATGCTACATACATGTATACAGGTTATGCATTTTTGGAAATATAGTTCAAATAGGTTTCAGAATTGTATTTTGAGGAAGAAATAACAGACAGATAGAAAGCAATGACAGAACTGAAAGTGCATCATCATGTGTTTGCTTTATATTTTCGTGTGAATTAGTCACGTAACACCACCCACGTGTCTTTTCTAAAGTTGTATTTGAGCAAGGTGATTATGGTGGGTCTTTAAAAATATTTCCTCACAAGAGTCCGTATTGTTCATCATTTTCGGATAAATATTTCTCTCTTCTAATGAAAACTAGCAAAAGTAAAATGAGATGCGATCACATGCGCTAAAACGGGGACCCAGCAAACACATAACATTTTCAAAAGATTTCATTGTAGTTCTTCAAAAACATTTTTGACAAAACATTTTATTAAGGTTTTAGAAATGTTTTACAACTATTCAAAATGTTATTCAAGAACATCATGCTAAAACATTGGCGAAACTATTTCATAACATGTTATTACAATGTTTTCAACACATTACAGAAATGTTATGCCAGAAACTATTTCATGAAATGTTATTGAAATGTTTTCAAAATGTTATTCAAGAACATCATGCTATAACATAGGCGAAACTATTTCATAACATGTTATTACAATGTTTTCAACGCTCTCGGCAGTGGGTGATTTTACATAGCGCTTTAATTACTTTCGCGGAGGTCGCGGGTGACAGCACAGCCACGGTGATTGAATTAATTAGTATCAAGCGTTTCACTGAGTACTGCGGACCGCACCCATCTCGCGTACAAGAGACGGCAGAGCGGTCTCGCGTACACGTTACATCTGCGACTGATAATTGGTCCTCGGCGATAACTGGTCGCTTGCCAGTTGAGATTCAGGGTTAGAATTGGTCCATAGCAACCTATGCTAGTCTTAAGGGCAACTACATGGTTGAAAGTTCAGATGTGGTTGATGGCATGTCAACATACCCCAGCAGTGTGGATGTTTGCTCATAATATCAATCACTGGTTAAGACTTGATTATTTACAGTACGCCATAATATTTATGTAAGGATTACTGCTGAGTGCCGCCTTAAGCAGTAAACAAAAGAGTGTTATTTCAATTCATGATAACTGTTATACTGAAATTCTTATTGTAATCTTCCTTGTCACACTACTGATCACTATGATCAGTAATAGCTATTCTAAAAACAGTTCGAAGTTCCGTTCATCAGTTGTTCATGTGGTGACTCACAGAAAGTCAAAGATAACACGACGCGTCATTTACCTTTGGATGCTCAGGTGGTAGTATCTGGACTTTGTCCATGTCCTCGGGTGAACTTCTTGATCGCATACCATACCCAGCATCATCACCGCTGGTGTTTTTCAAGTTCTTATTTTGTCGTTTTCTCATCCACATGAGAACCCGAAAGATCAGATATTTGAGAGGGTACCATTTGTTGGGCTGCACGTAAATGCCGCATTTCAGTGGTGGCTCTGGTGTCAAGATCCATTTGATGCAGAAAATACCAACAGCACCAGCAATGACGAGTGTGATCATTTTGACAGTAGGGTGAATCCGCGCTGATCGAAGTTCATGTGGAGATGTTTTGTTGATATGCTTCGATCAAGGGCGGATAACTCTAAACTGCTTGCAAAATGCAACGACCGTCAACAGTCAATTAATGGACCTTAAATCATTGTGAGTTCAATCCGCTAGAATGCCGTGCATTTTACTGTCTGTTTTCATTAATATTTGTAAAGACCATTAACTTGGTGTATGTCATTTTTGAATAGTAGTTATCATGGAAAAAATATCCCACAATGACACCAGAATTTCTAGGAAGGTCGATCGTTTCAACGTGTTTAAAATGCTGCTGCACACAGCTCCTCATGTCGACCGAACGCTATTGATTCCTTTGCTGGTGAAACATGTTAGATTCGGCGAAGAAGCGCAGTATCAATGAAAATAACCCTAGTATTGTCTAGAAATGAAATAATGAATCACAGAGCCAAAGGGTAAAAAAGTGGACTTTCGACTTGACAACGAAATATTCGTAGTGAAAAACAAAAAGGTATGGTGTACTTATGTGAGGGTGCCAACCCTCTCCTCCCCTGAATACCGAATACCATCTATTTTTTTTAACTTTGAGTCTGATTTGATCATCCCGAATCCTGAATACTTCTTAACAAAAATCTTAAAAACATTGAGAAAACAGTCCGATTTCAAGCAAAATTTCTAAAAAAACATGAAAAAGAAAATATATATCTATCTATTTAAATCTTCGTACGCCATTACTTTTTTAAAATAAATGTTCGATCTGCGTACCAAGTACGATTTTGTATGAGTCTCGCGTACGACACTGCTGACTCCCGAATAACCTCTAAATAGAACCGTGAGTCTTGCGTATCAGAAGGGGGTTGGCAGGCTGTTAATCTCTTATGTTCCTTACACCTTCGTTCACCTGCATGACGACTACACCGCCGCACTCCACCAGCGTTCAACAGACATGCGAGTAAACATAGTGAAGCTCCAATAAAATCTAGAAATTTGCTTTCAATCTTGAAGATATCCCTCGTCCTCGATGATTCAAAATAGGGAAATGTTGAACAAATTTTAACCATTTTTGAAACACATGTAGAACCAGATGTTATGGCTGCGTTTTAAGAGCTCTTTCTGTCACATTTGTTGGCACGGCTCTCTAAGAGTTTTATTTGTTTGTTTGTTTGTTGTTTAACGCCGCACTCAGCAATATTCCAGCTCTCTGACGGCGTTCTGTAAATAATCGAGTTTGAACCAGACAATTCAGTGATTGACATCATGAGCATCGATACACGCAATTGGGACACGATGACACGCATTAACCAAGTCAGCGAGCTTGACCAGCCGATCCCGTTAGTTGCCTCTTACGACAAGCATAGGTAACTGAAGACCTATTTTAACCCAGATCTTCCCGGGTCCTCCCTGTGAGAAACGGGCTTTGTTTGCATGAATTATACCATGTTTGTGGTCGTCCAAGAAACGCCAAGACTATACACTGATTAACCTTTAATAAAACAACTGGAAAGGATTTTAATCTAATATCTTTATGTGTTTTAGGATTTGCACGAGAGCTTTTCAGTATCTTACTGCAAATATCTTTACTGTCTTGATTCAGTGTGCAACAGTGTGAAACAATTACTCATACAGCACGATCAACGTATTCCTTGTGGCATATAAACAGTCCCGATATGACGGTCTCATATCCAAACAAACGTACATGTCTACTTATGATTTAAAAAAGTCGCCATGCATTATTCAGTGGCTAGACACGCGATTATTAGATAATACGTTTATGTTGGTATAGACTATGCAAGTAGCTTGAGGTTACATGCCTGACAGTGATTAATGTGTACATAATGACATTGGGTATGCTTAAAATGTCTTATTGATGTGAGTGTAAGTTTGTTGTTTTTCCCATGTATACACAATGGGCGTTAACCTATATCCCCTAAATCTGGCAGCATCCCTTTAATGGAAGGCACAAGCGTCTATTTCTGAAATACCCTGGAAACCAACTAATACAGATTGGTTTCCTTGGAAATTGATTTGTCAATATTATTGAGGTACCTTTTATTGACTTAATTACCTTAAATCGCATCGGAACAATAATAATGCATGGCTTGAGCCTGCGATTGCATATTTGGTAAAAGAACAGAAACATTTAGATATGACACGTTTCTTACATTCCCATGATTGAACAGGATATTACTGCTATTGACTCAGCATTAATGTGTTGTTATGATTATATCAGTTCAAGGTGTAAAACAATTACAGCGATGTCGATAGCTTGTACGTAATATTTAATGCTATATGTAACACGCCCATCCATGAAGGAGATAGGAGGTAAGCGATATCCCTGTCTTATCCATGTTTTGGTTTCTGGGGTGGAAGCCGCCGGCGGCTGTATTAACCTAAAACTCCCTCTCCGGCTTCGCTCTCACATGTTAATTGAGCAATTAACACTAATAATAGGGTTGGGGATGAAACATGGCGTGCTGGGGCACACCACATGAAATGTAAACGATGTAAAAGCATGTAAACATGTTAATGGAACCCCGGTATTTCCCGTGACACAGCGCGACATATACAGGATAGGGCACTGCTTCATGGATGACGAGGCGTTTCTTGCGGGATATATACGATATGTGTGTTTACTTCATGAACATGTCTTTGTTTGACTAATAGATATGTACTTTATTGAACTTATTATCATAAACTGTCGGGCAAAAGAAAGTATACATTCATGTTTGGTGGTGACTAAAAATGAAACAAAATAGAAATGATTATTCGACGGTGATTGTAGTTTGCAGTGTTTCGGCGACAGTTTTAAGCCTAGCAACTCTTTTTTTGGCTCTGTTGTTTATATCATTTACAGTATACCTAATATGTCTAAGGTGAATATTTCGCCGCCCCTTCTCTCTTATAAATAGGAGTGTTTACACAATTTGCAAGTGACAAAATCGTAAAAACACAGACGAACATACATTAACTTTGAAAAGTTAATGTAACTAGAGCAACAAAGCGGTTTACGTGAGTTAGACTGTATATGCAAACAGGAGCCTCGATTGTGCTCATCTGCAGGTCAACTGAATCTTTTTGCCAGTATTGTGACTTCCCACAAATAGCTTATTTTTCAACAACTCCATCCAATGAGTGCCTTACTGAAAAATCAAAAGACCAAAAAAACGCGTAGAACCCATGTACAGCGAAACCCCGTTAATCCGGAATGTAGCGTCCCGACTGAAATCACTAACCAATCATCGGACAAAATGTCACTATGTATGCAAAAAACGGCCCAAGGAGTCATTGTCTATATCTACATATGCACAAGTCGTGAAAATTGCGTTATGTTTGATAAAAATACCAGCTACATGTACCTGTATTAGGAGTTACTGATTTTCATCCCTCTGGGAGTTTCGGGGCTGAATAGTTCCAAAATATCCCTGCTTATCGTAAGATAATAATGATGATCGATTTATTTCAACGTGTAATCTACACGATTGTGTGTTTTCGTGCCCCGAAGACGTGGATCGTTGCTTATGCTGTCAACCATTGGTTTGCCTGTCCCAGATTCGATTAATTATAATATCTCATGATAGACATTGAATATTTTTGACTGTGGCATAAAACACCATTCATCTGCTCTTCCACTTCCAAATGTGCACATGTTCAGCTTAGTGTACTCATGCAACGTGACCAACGTGTATCCTATATTAAATTTTTCATGTATAGTTAAAACGTTCTCACTTACATGAATGGCGCTCTCAGGCCCTCTCTTGCACACTAAAATAACAATATATGTATGTACGGTAGTCTTTATTTATCATCCATCTCGGCATACCATATTCTAAAACCTTTCAGAGGTCACCTTTGAAATGATAAACATCACCCCCATTAACTACCCGTACCTAAAACCTAAGTTACCCGCGGGCATTGCACATTCTCAATATCCAAATCACCATCATCCCATATCATACACTGGTCAGCTGATTTCAGCCTATGTATACTCAAAATCCGGTCAAAACACCTGACTAAAATGTATACGGGTCACTTCATTTTCACACCTCCGGTCATAATTACAAATTGTCCTCTCTGTTTCTTCCCATTTTTGTCAATAAACATGCGAGGGTAGGTTGTTAACCCCAGCCCATAGTTCAGCACCCCTGGGCGCCCCGACTGTATTGGGGGACAAGATCCAACAGTCGGGCGTAGGCCGGATAATCCCTAGATTGTCGCGCGAACAGGGCCGCCGCTGTTTTATCCATGGTCGGGATATAACACGGTGTAAGGGGTCGGGTGACGGTTTCATTGATGGTTAGGAAGGGATTTTGAGGTCACAGTGGGTGTTTGTGTACGACCTGTTATAAAATTCAAGTGTTTATTATTGAAACTCGTTTCATCGTGCGATATGGAAACATGTTTGCAAACAACGTTTCATGAAACTGAACAAGAACGTATACTCACAGGAAAAGGTAATTTTGATTTTATCAATCGATTGATTTTTTGAAAATTCATAATGATTATGATCATATGGACCGTATGGTTTACAGAGTGATCGATCCCAAGGCCTGTCTACTCAACAAACACTTTCCAAAACAGACTAGGCAAGTCTGCTACCCTTCTATTTGGTATGTTCAGGGTAAACAGAAACATAATCCTTTACCTTAAAAATGCTGGACAAACGAAACAGAGAATGTAAATAACCGGAAATATTTAAATAATATTATAGAGCTGCCAAAACAGCCGTTCGCTGATTGGTGATAATAAGAGTCAGAGATGCTAATTCGGCCTTGACCTTGCTCAGGTGATGCTCGTACTCTCGTCCAGAGCTTTGAGCGTTCCAGAAGGGAGTGCAACAAGTGCCCCCTCCCCAAAACACACCTTTTGTTTCCAAAAAATTGCCGTTTTGTGGATGCTGAACTTCTACTGTACCGCGGTCAACTGCGGAGAAATGATAAAGCTGATAATTTGTTTCCGCTTAAAACCGAAGACCTCATTCCACAAAGCGATCCAACATTGACTTAATATAGTCGTAGCGCTAAGATCGCTTTGTGGAACGAGGACCAAGCCAAGTGTCGGAGTCAAATT